TCATTGCAAGCTGACTTCATTAGGTCTGAAATCATGAAGAACATCACAGCCTAGAAATGCAGCCAGGATGTCCATATGCAGAAACATCTCTGGGATGTGCCAGTAGGGACTGGGGAATCAGCAGTCGGATGAAGTTTCCTACTTAACTCCCCAACAAGATTTTATACATTTGGTGATCCACTGTTGTTTATTTGCCTTTTGTACAGTGGTTTAATGAAATGCTGGTGACTGATAAGTTTGGGCCATAATGTTTTTCTCATTTTCTTGTAGTACCTGTTGAAGGAAGTAGCAGTTTTGTCATGGGGTTTTTGGCTGTTGGATCAGGCTTCTATAAGTGCTAATGCTGTTAGTGTCACCTTGTTAGATGGTTTAATGTGTTGATGTAATTCATCTCCAAAAGCAGACAACTCGGCTCCTTTCCTGTAAGAATTAAGGCTTTTCTGTACTCAGAACAGAAAGACCATATGGGTGAAGTTTAGGTTGCTGTTGGTGTCTGATTAAATATTCAGCTGCCTTGTGCATTAAAATGTTGTATCTCACACTACTGACTTTTAGATCTTGGTTACACAATGCGCGGACATCCTCAGTGTGAATGTGGACTATATTAACAAGCATGGCAATCCAAAGAAATTGGCTCATCTGTTGTCAGACTTGCCAGCCACTAGCATTTAACCCAGAGGAATGTCTTACCAACAGTTGTTTCTCCCTTACCATTGTTTTTCCCTTACCTATGTTTCTTCCACCATCTTTTTCTTATCCAGGCAAGCTACTAAGTCACCTGTCTTGGAGAGCCTGTGAACACTTTCCTAGCAGACAGCAACAACCAAGATGAGCAAATGCTCTGAGTTGCTTATTGTCAAGCTGAGGAGGCAATGAGGAGTTTTGGCCAGGTGTCCAAGCAGATTGAAATTACTTCAAACTCTTCCAAGCCACAGCTTCTCACCAGTGAAGCAATCCAGATTTTTGCCACTGAAGGTGTAAACTCAGCACTGATTGTTTCTGTGTCATTTTCAGACGGTAGAAGCCATCTGATGCTGTCTGTGTACATCCTGGTACACATATGGCTGAAGGATTCTGCCATGTCCTCTAGCAAAAGCCTGTCTTGTGAGCAGCTGGAAGCTATGCCTGGAAAGGGTATACCAACTCTCTGATAAACTTACTAGAAGTAGCAAAGTTAATGAATCATTCATTGCCTGTGCATTCTAATCAGTGCAGTACAACAGAGTGCTTCATGCTTCCAGACACTGAAGATGTTATATAGCTTTCCAGCACTACAGGGACAAAGTATGAGCCCTGTCTTAAATAATGAAGCTATGGACTGAAGGTGGGCTTTTCAGGGGTTTTCATTCTTGGCCCAGCTCTACTGCCATTTCCAAACCTTCAAGCTAAATGTACTGTCAGAAAGCCGATTTACAGACACATGCAGCACCTGTCCTCAACTCTACTGGAGTGTGCCTGTGAAGCAGAGGCAGGCAAGGAAACATGAGAGCAGTCCTGGGAAGCAGGGCTGTCACCATTTGGAAAAGGGCAGTCCTGAAGGCATTTTGCTTCGACCTCAGTCTTTGGTCCAATGTGTATTTTGTGGAAAGAACTAACAAGGTTAAGACCAAAAGAAGTCAAACCTTGATATGTCTGTTTATGTTGAGATCCATGAGTTAAAGTGGACAGAAGAGAGAAATAAAAATTGTAACTCTACCAGATACAAAGAATGATAAATGACTTCTGAGCATTGGTGCTGTTTTGAGACAGCTGATGGCTTCAGAAAAGATTGGATCAGTATGTACTTGGAACTTGAGGGCTTTTTGTTTGGTTTTTTTTTTGAAAGTTTTATGACATGTTGACACCCTGTATTGCATAACTCCTTCAGCTCTTCCCTGTTGCATTCAGGGATTTGTTCTGCTTAGCTTTGTGTATAATTGTGCCAGTTAAGCCCTATTTGTCTGGCTTTATTAATCAGTTACTGAAGACACAATATTAAGAATAAACTTCACCCTTTGCAACCTTCATCTAAGTGCAGTGATGTATCTTTTCTAAGGAGTGAATAATGGTGGCGTGATGCTCTGGAAATTAAAACAAATGTATACCAACCACTGAAACACCTTGAATTTTGATGTGAGGAAGGGGCGGGAGGTTAATAAAGTAATTGTCAGATGTTTTCAATAATACTACCCACATTAGCAGAGAGACGGTACATTTGGTGGCTTGGCAAGCCTGAGAGTGAACTGGGACCCTTGTTCTACTGCCTGGGCAGTCTGCCACCCCCAGGGGAAGGCTGACTTTTTTTCCATCTCTGGAAAGAACTTTGTGTGAGTGTGTAAAACTGTTTAGTGTTTACATTTCTTCATGACTTTGCAGGCAAGCTGTGATTGACGGGGTCTTAGGAATGTATTATGGTGAGATGGGCCATATGTGTGCCTTTCTAAAGACAAAGATCTTCAATTCCAAGACAGGGATGCTTTTTCTGTCTGTGGTTGTCCAGTGAGTCCAGGTGAGGCTGTACCCTGCTTCTTGGGTGAGCAGTGCAATCACTGAAGGCTTTCAGTGACACCGTCCAGCCTTTCAAAACAACTCAGTGTTTATTAGTCCCCTGGGATGTCACATAGAGCAAGGTCAGGTTTGTGTTGCCAAATTAAACTTAAGATGGAGTCTGTGGGGGCTGAAGCAACCACTCTAAACCTGTTGCATGTCCTCTCCGTGTCCAATGTGTGAAGCCTGTGCTACGTAGTCCTTGCCACAGCCTCCTGCTGCCTCAGGGCACTTCTCCAGTTGCAGTACTGCTGTGGTCAGAGTCCTGCCTCCTCTGGTTCCCGATGCTGATCTTTGGTCACTGGAGTGTTCTGTAGCCTCCCCAAGGTGCTCCAGTGGCTCACAGCAAATGAGACACGTGTACTTATTGTAGCAAATACTGCTTTCCCAGGGAAGAAGTTAGCTCAGTCCTGCCAGCGGTAGCAAAACACATTTCTGTTATGGATGCCCTAGCCTCCCACCGTATTGCCCACGTCTGTTGTTTTGTCAGACTCATGTTGTCCCCTGGAGTGTTTGGCAGTGTGCAGGGACCAGCTTTTGAAGACGAGCAGGCTAGTGAGTTTGTGACCAGTCTTAAGAGCTCAAGAGCTCTGGGTAATGGCCAGTCTTGGTGCATCCTTGCCAGCAAGCTTATAGCAAAGCAGTGGGTTCATGAATTAAAAGGATTTCCTGTGGAGGTGAGGGTGGCTTCATCCCTCTCTTCTTTTGATGGTGGGATCCTCTCCACCAGGAGCTTTAGTTTTGGACCTTCAGGTCCTGGTACAGAAACACACTTGGCTGAACTCAGGCGGTGGGTATTTTATGTTTTGCTGGCTGATTGAGAGGAAGAGACCATAGCCATATGTGCTGTTGAGATCCCTTGTCTGTTGTTTGTGATTGACCTTGACCAGGCTGTGCAGCTGCTGGGTGTTTAGAGCTCAGAGGCTGCCAAGCACTGCTACACTTAGATGCTTATGGGCCCAAGTGTGGAAACTGCATGTATAAATTGAGTTACAGCCCTCAAAACCTCTCTGTGCCTTTGCATAGAGTTGGCAGTGGGACTGAGGGAAATTAGTCATGCTGGAAAGAGCTGCAGGGCAAAGAGTGTTAGATGACAGGGCTAAAGGGTGGCTGGACAGCAGGCAGGCCCAGTCTCCAAGCCCTCCTAGATGTTTGTGTGCTTATTGCGTGTAAACTGCACCTCTGTTAGCTTTAATTATTTCAAGTGAAAGGAAACACGTGCTCAGGTAGTATTTTCCTCTGTTAGAACACATATTTAAATAATTGTCACCTTTCTCTTCCAGAACATCCATTAGGGATTCTTCTTCTCATTTTCCGACTCCCAGACTTAGAAGAAAAGACCTCCAAGGAGTGCCTTCCTTTTAAATTCATTGAAGACATTTAGATTGATAATTATGTGGGGTTTGGTGCTAAGTAGGTTAACGATTTCTGGATGCCCTTGATGTGGGTTATCATTTTCATAGAATGACATGTAACTACCCTTCCCTGTCATGCTGCAGGCAAGTGGGACTTTAATAAAACCGATTGCTGTCTTGTAGCTTACAGGGTGGAATCTTCCTTCATCCACCTTAAACATTTGTGTTCATTTAGGGAAGAAAAAAGGAAACAAACTTTGTTTCTGTCTGGCTTGTGGGGATTTTTTCCATCAGATGTGTGGCACTTCTGATGTTTTATTGCAAACCAAGACTTTTTCATGTCCCTTTTTAAGATCTCTGCGTAATGAATAAGACTTGGTTGCTGATATAAGAGTAGTTGTCAAACCTACTTCAGTTGTCTAACATGATATAATGATGAAAAGTCAGTTGTGGGTGATCTTCCAGAGGACTGAATGATTTTTTTTTCTCCTTCTTATTCCTCTGTAAGGTCTTCTTACTTTGTTTACTTTTTTATGGGACTCTTTTTATGAGTGTCTGACAATGGTAGTAGTAGGTTCATAGGTTCAGATCTGTTCCAAGCTTAGCACAGAGGATGTTGTAACACTTATGCTTTCACATGTCAAGTGATAAAGCCAGGGGTGAGTGGGTTGATTAGCTTTGTGGATGACTTGTCCTCATTGGACATGAGAGCTGTGGAAGGTCAAATATGTTTTACAGTATCTGCCAACCTCTGGATTCTAACTGATCCCCACATCAAAACTGAGTGAGAAGACCTTGAATCTGGGAAATGTGGTTGTTCTTAAATAACCTGTTTCCCTGTATCTGTGAGGCCATCTTGTATGTAGACCGTCATTGTGTTTGCGGGCGTGTACCTGCCTTTCTCCTGTGATTTGCAGATCAAGCTTTCAGAATTACTCAGCAGCTGCATGTTTTCAATAAAAAAAGAGGTGCTTTCCTCTTGTAGGAAGTGTTTTAAAACTAGATTGGGGATCAGTGCACCCATCTGAAGGGCTTTGCATACAGATATGCCTAGACCTGATGTCTGCATGTCACTGTGAGATGAATCCTGTGACCAGAGAAATTTTCTGTTTTCTTCAGAGCAAATTGGAGCCTTGGCCGGGCAGCACATCGTGCACGTGGCCTGCGGAGAGTCTCACAGCGTGGCACTCAGTGACCAGGGCCAGCTCTTCTCCTGGGGTGCTGGCAGTGATGGACAGTTGGGCCTCACCACTATAGAAGACGTGGTGACGGTACCAAGGTAAATTTTGAACAGTTTCAGGTTTCCTTAAGGCAGCTTCTGGGAGGTGATGCATCAAGGGTTGCTCACCTTCCAGCCTGGGGTTGGTGGGAGCATTTTTTTTCTCAAAGAGGCAATAAACGGGCATTTCTCAGGTAGGGATGTAAGGGTGATTCCTCCTTCTTTTCCCTAATGTACTGGTGCTCCCTGAGCCCCCCTGGGACTCAGACAAGTCCTCAGGAGGTTTGTGCAGGACAGGCCCTCTGCCCGTGGGTTCTTGGGGCATAGAGCATGCTCAGCTTCCTCAATGAAAAATGCCACTGTGTTTTCTGCAGAGCAAGAAGGTGCACAAGGGAGGACCCAAAAATAGAAATGCTGTGTGTGATACCCGTCTCTCTATTCTAGTCCCTAGGAAGTCCTCTGAGATAAGAGATACATTTCAAGAATGGGGAAAAAATATGTGGCTGTGTGAACACGCACTTCAGCTCTGAAACTCTTCTGCAGTGTTGCCTGTTAGCAGTAAAGCTGCTAAACCAGCCTACTGCGATTCTGGGTAGTGAATGTTGCTCAGAAACCTCAGGGTAGTGCTCAATTTTCTTTATTTACATATTTAATGTATCTTAGCTGTGTCAGAGTGCTAATAAGGTTAAGTGCAAGGACATGTAGATGGTGGCAGTGGCAGACACCAAGACTCCTCCATCCAAAGCTGTTCACAGATGATGGGTCTCAGCTTATCACCATAATAAAGATACCTAGTCCCTTTGTACTTCATGGCGTTGTATCATGCTGCATTACTAACAGATGGAGTCTGTCCCTTGTTTGTTCTGCCCCTGCAGATCCAGTGCAGAGCAGAAGTTTGGGACATTTGTCTAGGGTGGCTGTCATTGTTGAAACAGTATTTAAAGGAAGAGTTTCAGTTGCAGAACATTAATGTTTGAGCTGAAGGGCTCTGTGGCAAGACAGTCCTTAACTTGCAGGTGGCTCTGGCCTAACAGAGTGAGATAGGCTCACATGTCAATGTGATGGTGCCATTTTAAAAAGAACGTTTTTGTGAAATAACTTGAACCTTTGACATGCTATTCTCTGTACAAAGCACTGAAGAGATTTTGGTGCTGTAACTCCTAGGAGCTTATAGGCCCCTGACAGCATAAAAAATGTCCATACCTGAAAAAGAATAGAGAGAAACACCAAGAACCATCTATTTTCACCATTTCCAGATGGCTGGATTCAGTATTATGGCAAGAAATGTAGTTGGAGTTAGTAGCCAAGTGTCTAAAGGTCTCCACGGATTTGCATCTGTTATGTATGGATCTGTATCACCTTCAAGATTCCATTCCTCAGTGTCAAAACCGTAGGTTATGTGTATGTGTAGAATGAATATCTGAATGGAAATCATAATTTTGACCTAAGGTGATACTGTATTTGTGGACACTTATTCTAAAGTAGTGTTGTCTTCTTTAGGTTGATAAAGAAATTGAACCAACAGACAATACTGCAGGTTTCCTGTGGAAATTGGCACTGCCTGGCTTTGGCAGCAGGTACTGTAACATTCATTATTTATTACCAAGATTTGTGCTGTTATTTTGCACAGAGTCCAAGATTGTGTATTTCTGCATAATAAACCAAGGACATCCCTGTCCCAACTGCTTTCAGGCCAAATGGGAGGCTATAAAATGGATCAGGTACCATGAATATGAGCTTTACCAATATTGTCAAGAAAGAAAATGTCGCACACAGGCCGCCCACTGTCTCACTGGTGAATGATGGCAGGAACACTTAAAAGCTTTCCATCTTGATGTAGGAAAAATGTGTGTAATTAATTTCTTTCCAATTAAATTATCCTTGGCTATTACTCTTCTGTTTGGAACATGTGGACTGTTCTTTATTATACTGTTTAAGTTACAGCAGTCTGATATTGTATTTTGTGCTTAGTTGCGTGTCTATTTATTTTCCCCGTGGCTTCAGACTGCTTTTATTTTAGCAAAGAATATCTTTCTTGATGTTTCCATCATGAGGCTTGGGTGAGAGTGAAGCCCCCAGTGTCAGTTCTTGTTCATTTTGAAAACTTTCTGTTGACCAGCTTTTACTCACTGTTCTCTTTCTTTCTTTGTTTCAGATGGCCAATTCTTCACGTGGGGACAGAACAGCTATGGTCAACTGGGCTTGGGCAAAGAATGTCCCTCCCAAGCCAGTCCACAACGTGTCAAGTCTCTTGATGGGATCCCTTTGGCTCAGGTTGCTGCAGGTGGAGCCCACAGTTTTGCCCTCTCTCTCTCAGGAGCTGTGTTTGGCTGGGGGAAGAACAGCTCAGGACAGCTGGGACTAAGTGATGAACGAGGTATTAGAATTATGTTCCTAGGTGAAAGAAGAATGGACTTTTTTGGCCTAATGTCTCTTTTTGCATTGACAGTATATTTTTACTGAGTGGGTATGTCACCCTCCACAACTCCTCTTGGGAGGAGAGGGCAGAGGAACAATCCCTAATGGACTCTACAGGCTTTTCATACTTAGTAGGAACAGAAACACTTTTTTTCCCATTGTGGATGTTAGTGGAAATGAGGAAAGTCAAAAAGAAAGATGTTTCAAATGGTGTCAACAGGCAGTTATCGAAGGAAGTGCTCATATTCATTCTTCCTCTTCTCAGAAATGCTTTGTCCATATTTTGTTTGAAGTTGGTGTGGAGCAAAGGCTCTCCCTGCAGAACAGCAGGCTGAACCCATCCCCTTGTTCGCCAACATGTTTTTCACCGGTGAGCATCTGTATGCTACAAAATGGTGGCAACACGGAGTATCTCAGCTTTGTACAATCTTGTCTAGTGTATTTGTTGCACCATTTTCCACACACGCAGGGCCAATGGTAGTTTTTTCAGTTCAGTTTCAGGCTATGTTCAGTGAAGCCTATCCATCAATAGACTTGAAGATAGGTTTATAAATGAAGCTGAAGCGTGGATATGACATTACCACTAGTCTGAAAAGCCCAGATCTCTTCTGCTTGTTGTTAACACATTCTTAAATTTTTGCAAAAGCAAGTGAGTGAAAGATTTTCTTTGGAGCTTCAAATCAACCTCTTTGTCATTTTCTGCAAAGTTGCTGAGTAGCTTTAACTATCTAGGCAAGTTACTGAATATGGATGTGATACCTAGCATTCATGGATAATTTGTTTTCATGGACGAGTACACAAGGTGTATATATTTGTAAATGTTATGTTGCATAATGTAGTAGCATACAAACACTGTATGTTGCAAGAGAAAAGTGCTACCTGCATTTTGTGTACCTCTAATGGAATGATGCGTTTTGGCAACTCACCCTACCAACTGAAACGTATTTAAAGCAATTACTCAAAACAAGCCTGTAGTTTAGCAAAGGATGTGTTGTATGCATCGCTTCATCTTGCTTTACACTTTTGGAAATATGAAACACAATTGTAAGACTTGTTACATATCTTGTGTTCTCTCAGAGATGCTCCAGGTCTATTCTCTTGTACTGTGTGGAAGCTAGAGCTAATCTAGTATGAGAGCAGCTGTGTTCTTTCCATGTAGACTGGCAGATAAATGCTTCTAATTTCAACAAAGCTGCAGTTTATATGAGAGGCTTGCTTTGACATGGGTCATTGTTTAAATGAACATATAAGGAGCATCTGCTTGTCAGGCTGTGTTGTATGATCCCTGTGTGACCAGGGATTGTACTCCACTTACCCCTCAATACATGTCACTGTAGTAAATATATTTATGGCAAGACAGTGTGAATTATACTTAGTGAACATGAACAGCAAAGTCTACAAACATGAGTATTCTGCAGCACTGTTATTTAAACAATTATGCTGTAGAGATAAGAAGTGTCGTTCCTGTCAAAATAAAGATCAGAGTGCTAAAATACAGAATAAAGTAGATGAGAAGACTGCTCTCATTTCTAAATCCATGCAAACGTGACCATTTTCCTTTCACTACTCAGAAAAGAACACTTGTCAAATCCTTGTGTGAGAGTCTTAAGAAATGGACAACTTCTGTAGGTAGGAACCTGACTTTTTGTTGGTATGAAGTAGGCAGCTGCCCCCCTTAATATGTAACTGTTTTGGGGTGCCTACTTCTCCTTGAAATGCTTAGCTTTTAATTTATTTTTACATCCGTAAAACATGTAACCTTGCTTAGTGTAAGCATCTTTAGGAGACCCACTTTTGATGATTAAAATGTCAGCGTGAAGGAGAAAAGCATCATTTAATGGTTGGCAGTGATTAGCCTCTGCAAGTAGGTGGATCTTCTTAAAGGATGACAACAGAAGGAAGGCTAGGCATTTAAATACACCTTGGGATTCAGCTTGTCGTGTGTTGAGCTAGCATCTCCCACGTGTCAGAGTTGTTCTGTATGGAAAAGGTCTAAGGAAGGTTTTGGAAACAAATGTTTGCAGTTGTCAGTGAGGAGTCTGGAATGGAGCATGAGGCTGAAGGTGGGTGTAGCTAGGTTGCACTTATCATACCTCCCAAACTGCAAGTGCATGTTGAGTTTATACAAGATTCTCAATATTTGCATTCTTGCTCTGGACAATTTTCGTTGAGCCAGGACAAAACTTTTAAGAATTGGAAGGGGAAAGCAGCAGTGAAGTACTCAAGGACGTGGGTTTTTTTTCCCCCGCAGTTGTTAAAGCTTCCCTTGCACACATAGACCACATCTGAAAATAAGACTGCAAGTGGTTTTCTGAGACATTTAAGTTTGTGTTTATGAAACAGCTCCTTTATTTTCTTTGTCTTCAATACAGACCGAGAATCCCCTTGTCATGTGAAGCTGTTGCGGTCTCAGAAGGTTGTTTACATCAGCTGTGGAGAAGAACACACAGCAGTTCTGACAAAGGTAAAGATGCTAACCTGGGAACTCTGTCTGCTGTCTCCCCTGCTGGATGGTTTCACATTAGTTTCCTGGGTAGTGGTAGAAAAGATTGACTTACTGTATTCCATCTGACCCCAGTAAGAGAAACTAAATGGAAAGTGCAGTCATCTTACAATATTGCCAACATGATCCATTGCTGGTTTTGAAGATGTTAGTAATCTATGACAATGAATAGTAAAACCTCAGGTGAATTGCTCAAAGAAATTAGCTTTGAGAAAAAAAAAAAAAACAACACATCCAAAGAGGTGAAATTTTGTCAAGAGCGTTTTGTTGGAAGATAGAGTGTGATATTGTGCATCAGAATAAAATGCTGGTCAAAATGAATGGGCATTTAAATGAAACATTAGCACTCACTCACAGCACTTAAAAGATGTTTTCAGTTTCAAACCTGCTGTTTCCAAGTGGTGTACAGTTTGGTGGATAGAGGACAGGGCTGGGATGTGGAAGATCACTGCTCAGTTCTTGCCTTGCCACTTCCACTTCCTAGGTGTTGCTTCCTTTTTTTTGGTGCCTCAGTGTTTTCTGCTGTAAAATGAATTAAACAGCTGGCTTTGGGATTCCTGTGGGAAAACCACCATTGTAGAAGACTAGTTCTGTGGAAGCTCTTGTTCAAAGGAAAAGGTCACAATCTTTTTCATCAGCAGCTGACAGAGATGGGTGTTAAATATTGTAGAAATGGGTGCTACTTAGCTATATTTAAACCTGCTGGGATTTCAGACTCATCTGGTGATGGTGGTGGGAAGCTTGTCTAATGTAGGCATACCTAAAGATAATTCTGTTAATGTCTGGTGAGTGGCAAGGTAGCTACTTGGAGGCTGCGTTAGCAGAACCCAAGTCTGAATCCTTTGGATGTCCCCATCAATCTCTGCCTAAGCTTGGGCTTGTACTGAATCTGGAACCGAGAGATACTGCTGGGTTATGGGTCCCTAAATGGAGAATATGCTGTTTGATTTGCTAACAGAGTGGAGGGGTGTTCACGTTCGGTGCAGGTTCCTGTGGGCAACTGGGACATGACTCCATGAACGATGAAGTGAACCCCCGAAGAGTTCTTGAGCTAATGGGCAGTGAAGTATCCCAGATTGCTTGTGGCAGGTGAGTCCTATGTGCAGTCAGAAGTTTTCTTTGGTGGAGGTGAATGCTGACACTGAGCCTTGTAAATAGGGGAAATAGTCTTGCTTCTGCGTACTATGTGTCAAAACTAAGTTAATTTAAATTTTGCTTCCCATGAGAATTTTAAGGTCCTCTAAAGGAGGTTGTTTTTTAATTGGAGTTGTTCCCTGTGCTGTAACATGGTAAAAGATACCTTTTTGTCTTAATAATTCAGCAAGACTTTAGAGCAGCAGCCCCTTTGGTCACAAGTTTCCAGCCTCTTTGATGAAAAGAGTGTTAGTGACACTGGTGCTGTGTTGTTGCTGTTTGATCTGTACAGGCTTAGCAAATGACTAAGCTAATTCCATCTGTGAGCCTGATACCAGCCGTATGCTGGCACAAGCTGCTCTTTGTCACTTCCACCTAAAGAGCTCCATCCCATAAACTGGTGCCATCAAGTGGCAAAAACTGAACATTGGTGCTAGTGTAAAGATACTCGTTTCCACCAACTTCTGGCCTAGGGGAACCGAGAATAAGTTTTAGGCTGCATTTGTGTTGGTTTTTTTCTTTGAATTGTTAAACAAGGCCCAAACTGTATACCTGTCTCTGTTACAGACATCACACTTTAGCCTTTGTGCCTTCTTCAGGAATGATCTATGCATTTGGCTGTGGAACAAGAGGCCAGCTGGGAACAGGGCACACTTGCAATGTTAAGTGTCCCTCTCCCGTCAAGGGTCACTGGGCAGCTCACAATGGGCAACTCTCAGGGAAACCTGGTATGTACCACGTGCAATTTGGAGTTGCAAACAGACATAAATAATTGCATTTCACCCATGGCTGTCTAAAGACATCTTGACATTGTTCTGTGAAACTTCTTGAAACAGCGAAAGAAACACATCCTCCTGTTCCAAATGCACTGTGGAAATGTCTGTGTGACCTCTTGCTCTCTCTGTTAATGTATGCCCTCTCCCTTTCTCTTTTCATGGCAGAGCTCAACATCTGGTGATCTTGAGCCTTCATGAAATTGTACTAGTACTGATTTCTGAGGGCTTTGGTTTCTCTTTAAAACCCTCATTGCAGTGTAAAACTGACAACTTTTCCCTCTGGCCAGACCCCATTTCTCTCTCAAGGAAGTGCTACAGTGCTTGAGTTCCAGCTGTTTTCAGCCTGGCCTTCAAGGGACCCAGGTGCTCCTTGTAGTGTGAAACCTGAGACACTGGCAGTCCAAATGTGGGGGGAAAAGGCACAGTAGTAACTTGCATTCATTGACCTCTAACACAACTGTGTCTCTTTCTTCAACAGATGCCTGTAAATATCACGTTGTTAAACATATCTTCTCTGGAGGAGACCAAACATTTGTGCTTTGCTCTAAATACGAGGTAAAACAAATGAAGTATCTTCTCAAATGTGCTCCCCTGTCCCAGCCTTCACAATGCATCTTTTATTTTCAGTAATATCTCCCAAAAATGAAGTGTGGCTTCGGAGACCATTCGGAGTCCAAACTTTACCAATGATGACAGTGATGACCAATGATGTTACAGAGATTTACAGCTTTTTAGGAGTGGCTGAATGTTGCCTTCCTTTAGAGGCACATCAGAGAGCCATTGGGAAGACATTGATAGCAGGAAGGGGAGTCCAATCTCCTTTGCAGATTGGAAGCGAGGGGCTGCTTTCCTCCTGAGACACTGGTGTCTGTGTGATTAGACTGTAGGGCCGTGGCCCACATATACTGGAGTTTTGTCAAGATTCGCTGGATGGAGGGCTGAATGCTGAATTGGTGTTTTTGCTTCTGTCGTCTTATTTCTTTCAAGAAGAGTTTGACATACACTTTGGAGGCATGGAAATAAGTCTATAATAAATGTACTAAGCCTGTAGTTATGTATGGTGGTATTTAAGAGGGCTTTGGTATATTTAAGGAAATGATATTTTGGGGTTTTTTTCTTTTCCTCTTTTTAAAATGTATTTGATGATGATCTGTTTTTTTCATGCTTTTCCATGCTTTTGCTTTTGGACTTCTTAGTCATGCCACAACCAAACCTGTTCAGAGACCACACTAAGCAAGCTATCAGTTATGTATAGAAAAGAGAGATTATGGATAAGAAGGAATTGGTTTACAAGCTTGTTTTTGCTGAAATCTGTATCTTCTCACAGAATTCCTTGCCTGCTGATGATTTCCGGACCATAAATGAAACACGTTACACCTGTTTAATAAATGATGAAACTATAGATGTCTGGAGGAAAAAGCTTTTAGAGAAGAACAGTTCTAATTCTGTCAAGTAGGTATTGCAGCACTGGACAGGCCTTTTGTTGAAAGTTTTATTTGAATAATTTTGTTGGCTTCTATGCAATGCTTTCACTTGAAATTTAGCAGCCTTTTCAAGTGTGGTTCTTGATCATTTCCAAGGGGAGGACAGTTGCCAGTCACAAGGCTGCCAGGTTAGAGCTTCTGAGCAAAACCAGAGGAATTTGAGGCTGCCTCAGAACATTGAAAATGGTGACTGGGAAATGGATTTTAAACTTGTCCTTTATTGTGTGCTTAGAGTTCATGAAAAGCAGCAAGAACTTGTGAACAGACTGATTAAATTCCTTCCCCTGTATGCCTGTGATGAGAAGGGCAGAATAGGTGGAAAGGAGGCACTGCTAACATCCCTCCTTTCAAAGAGAGATGTTACGTGATCCTGAACGAACCACTTACCCTCCACGCCTCTGAAGGAGTGATCCTGGCACTGTTTCCCATAGAAGGAAGGGAAGAGAGCTGAAGAGATTTGCTGAGACATGTGTTCATAACCTCTATCTCTTTTCTTTTGTCTTCCTGCTGCAAACAGTAATGTTGTTCAGATACTGTCCTCAGCTGCCTGCTGGAATGGAAGCTTCTTGGAGAAGAAGTAAGTTTCAAACTTACAAAAGTGTGGCTTTCCATTGACACAGACTGGAATCCCTTTACTTCAGTTACTGCTGCAGTAGGATTTGATTTTTCTGGTCAGACAGGAGATGAGGGCAGAGAGTGTCCACTAAAGAGGTGGGTGGTCAGAGCTGGGTAAGGAGGGCAAATGGTGTAAGAAAGTACACGGTGAGTGTCCTGTAAGTGGCACGGATTCCTTGGAGTTGTCACAACTGTTGTTTTTCCTTATGAAATGAATATAAACATCTTCAAAAGAGAGGGATAGGAATATGACATTAAGGGAAATGAGTGATTCCAGGTATGTGAATAGTCTCTTACCCAGCTGAGCTAGCTGTTGGGGGCTGGTGCATGTGAAGGCATACTTCAACACAGGCTGCTCTTGAAAAATACATCTGAGGCAGCGTGGAAGCACTTTCCTTTTGGGCGACGTTGGTTGCAGAAAGTTTTGTGCTTCTGCTTACAAAAGCAGGAATTTCAAATAGGTGTAACCAACAATAGGTGGTGACAAGGACGTAATATGTGTAGCTGACTCAAAGGCTGTGGATTGGGAAGGATTGTGTTGGCTGCGTCTGTAGATGTTGGGGAGGTAACAGCATAAGATGAGGAGGAGGAGAAATTTTTTTATGGTGATGTGATGAGTAAATGACCTGTAACTAGGTGAAGAAAAGCTTAGTTACTCTGAGTAATCTTTGAGTAATATTTTCCAAGAGCAACTTGAAAAAGAAAACAATTTACTCATTATTCTTGCGTTTTGTGCTTGTCCAATGGTTTCTTTTCTAGTGTGACAAGGCAGCATGTTACTGCATCAGGAGAGTTGTGTCATGTTGGTTTAAAACACTTGTTGAGGTGTCCAAGTTGAGTCACTGTAAATAGTCCCACATCTCCTTTGGATGTGGAAATGAGTGGAGTTTGACTTCATCACCCCAATGCAGCTCTCCTTCCATTTTAGTGATGTCCTGGCTAGTGCAGGACTTACCTTTTACAGAAAATCTTTGACCAAATGAATGATAAAATTTTGAAGTCACCACACACTGAAGTGAGGCTGTATTTAACCATGTACGTGAAGCCTTATGTCAGCAGTGCACCTGACAGAAACACCCTGGTATATCCCTCCAGTATCCTAATGCCATATAGGCCCATTTTCGATACAGCATTGTGGTACACAGGGTTAGATGGAAAAGCAGCTTTTCCATGGCTGTGTGACTGGGCACGCTCCGGTACTGTTTCTGCACATCACGGCCTGAAGTGCTCTGTACCACAGTGCGACTCTGAGGAGCTATTTCCAGCGTGGTGCCTGTGCTGTTATGGAAATAGCTGTTCTACTACAGCAGGCTATGTTTAGCTTCTCATGTCGTTACAGTCACACCAGCAAACTGACAACTGCATCCCATCTTTAATAACTCCTTCAGAGTGTCTAATACAGCATGGTCTCAGATGAGTAGTGACAGACTTGTGAAATCCTTGAGGTCAATGGATTTGTAGCAATGACCTTTTTTACTAGCAGCTGCAAGGTTTTATGTGCAGCTTTACTACAGACCACGGTGCTGCAAGCCTCTGCTACTGATGCTGATCATACTCTAGATGCTGAGCTAGGTAACTTACCTGCTGCACTGGACCTTCAGTGTTCCTAGATCTGCTGTTAGACTATTGTCCTCCACAGGCTTTCCTTCGTTATCCCTCTTACACAGGTAGCCTGAGTAAATTACAGCCTTTCAAGCACAGCAGAAAAGACAGCACATCTGTTACAACTGAAGACCATGTGAAGACTGTGCTCAGCTGTGCTGTGTTTTGATTGTAGTCGTTTAGTTTTAGAAAATTTGAGTGGAATTGCGAAAAAGCTACTCTGAGTATCTTCCCCTGTTTTCTTTTGAAAACCCTCATCTGATGTCCCCTTGTACAGCAGTCAATGTCTTCTTATGCATCACCCTTTCCTTTCTTACTGGGTATGATTAAACAGATTTTGCTGTAAAAGCAGTGTATATGAAGGCAACACAGAGGATCCCGATACATATGATAGATACTTATTTTACAGGTTTTTAAGCAGTCCAGCCTGTCTAGGCAGCCTCTTAAGTCAGTGAAGGAGTCCTGGGGAAATAAAGGACTTCGATAAAGTCTTTCTCTCCAAGAATCCCAACCTTAACCAAGGCCCAGAGGAGTTCAGAAGGGAGAGTTGTCCATCTTGCCTTTTGTAAGAAGATTCCAACTTCTACTTTGTTTCTAGTCTGATTAAGTCCCTAGAGGTCATTTCTCCATTGCTTGCTCTCAGGCCATGCCAATATACAGGTAATGGTGTCTCTTCTGTAAACTTAAGCCTGTCTGTCTGGGATTTTTTTAAAGAATTGATGAACATTTTAAAACCAGTCCGAAGATCCCAGGAATTGATCTGAACTCCACCAGAGTGCTGTTTGAGAAGCTGATGAACTCTCAGCACTCCATTCTTCTAGACCAGGTATTGTACTTCTGGAGTTTTGGCTATTCAGAGGGGAAATAAAGGCTTTTTCCATTGTAACACGCAAGTAACAGCAGCTTTTTTGGGGAAGGGTTGTATTGCAAATCTGCAGGCTGGGTCCTTCATGGTATTAGTGGATACTTTTCCATTGACCTGGGCTGACTTTCACCTTGTGAAAAAAGAGACACTTTCAGAATGTGTCTCTAAGATTTTTTTAAAAAGTTTTAAAAAAAGTTTTATCTCATGGCATTTAATACTTGAAAAGGCTGCTGAAATTAATTCTGTGTGTGTTATACTTGTAAATAATGACTATGTGCTCATTTGTTGTCTGTCAGGAGTTGAGTGCTTTATGGTTGTGTAATTTATTCTAACTCCGAGGATTTCTTTCACGAATGCAGAGCTGTGGGATAAAATTGTGTATGTTCCCCGTGCCATTTTTTAGCTATAATTTTTTTATAGCTTTTTTTTACTCTGGATTTGACTTTTAAAACAGGGGTGTGACCTTAACACTAACTAACCTTTAGCCAGCCCTGGAAAACCCTATCTAAGTGTTCATGTATTTTGGAAAAATCAGGGTTTATAAGAGATCATCAGCAAAAGCTGTTAGGTCTACTCATTCTGAGTGTGCTCCATTTCATCAGTTCTTACACATCATCTACATTGTAGGTGTTCTTGTCACCAAGAGTAAGTTGTCTTTTGTCTTATTTTCCTCTAGATACTGAAGGGCTTTGAAAGCTTTTTGATTCCTCAGCTGTCCAGCTCACCACCAGATGTTGAGGCAATGAGGATCTATCTGATTCTCCCTGAATTCCCACCCTTCCAAGACTCCAAGTATTATATCACGTTAACACTTCCTCTAGCAATGGCTATTCTGCGCCTAGATACAAATCCCAGTAAAGTTCTTGGTAAGAGACTGATATTTAAGATGCATGTTGCTCTCAGTATCTAGCTGGGACACACAGTGTTGCCTTTAGGTTTTTCAGTCATGTTTTTGTGTTGGTTTAATTTTTCTATTCTGTTACAACGGGTATTATTTGTGATATAGTGTTGTTATAAAGCAGACGCCTCTAAAAAGCAGCTGGGAACCAAAAGAGCTCAAGGAATCCTCCCCCCAAAAGCTATATTCCCATGTAAGAGAATTATAAACATAAAATTTTAATTTTAAACATGAACTATGAGGAAATGAAGAATGTGCCATGCAGGTAAGATACGGGAACTTAGTTACAATAATATAAACCATTTAAAATTTATGGTGGTGTGAATAAGAAATGAGAAAGAAAATTCAGGTTAAGAATTGTTTTAATTTAGAAGTAAAATATCATTTCAAAGAACACTTACTAAACTTATCTAGTTTACCTATATTCAGAGCCTCAGTTCCAGATAAATTTGCATGCCTCTATGTAAACATAGATTGGGTATATCATGAAGATTAAATTGTCTTAGTCTCTTAAATTTATTTGCATATTGTCCACATTAGAATATCTTTTCTGTATAAGGTGTAAAAACCCCACTAAATATAACACAAAGTTACTTTGTCCTGTGTAAGGTGCAGAAAAACCTATTGGCTCGTCTGTGACCAAGCTGAACACCCCAGCTCTTCTCCCACTTCTGAATCTTCTCATTTCTGCTAATATTATTTCCTATGAGCTCACTTTAAGTTAAGCAGAACATGTACTGCTTAATGATTGTTACTCATGCTAAGCTATTACTTTTCTTGTTATCTTACTCTGTTTCTTAAGATTGTCTTACACTGAATCTCATATCATGCAAAATGCTCCAGGGAAATTTATTTTGAGGTTTAGTGATTTTTAGTTTTTTTCAAAGAGGCTTTGGAACCAGGTTTCCTCTTCTACTCAGACTAGTCCACTGTGATTGTTAAAATACAGAAATTGAAAGGATTCTCATACTTCTGCCTGCCAGGAATCTATTGTTGTGCTGCCACTTGAGAGGATAAATTGGTGTTTGTTTCTAACAGTTGACATGATGATTTCCCAGGCTCCAGCTTCTGCTTTTCAGGTGGATTGGTTCTAGCCAAGAAGCTAATAGTCAGGGTCCCTTCAGAGGAGAGGTAAGGGTTACCTGTCCTTGGCCAGAAAGAAATCAGCCTTTCTAAAGACGGGGAGTTTCAGACCTTTAGTGCAGATGTGCCAGGAGAGTGCTCTGACATCTGCTAGAAAAGTATGTGGTACTACAGAGAGTTGCCCAGGGAACTGCTTTCTTATCATTCATGAGAGACAAAGATCACAGTTTCTTGAATACAAGATACTTGAAACAGTATCTTGAATTGCAAGTTGAAAACCTTTGAATTCAGGCTCTCACGCTGATCAGGGATTTGGGCTGGGTAATGACTGGGGTGGTTGTATGAGAGTGGAAAGGGAAGAGCTTTTCAATTTCTGGTGCCTAGCTGACTATTTACTCACTTTCCTGTTGCTCCAGTTAAGACAGAAATAGGGAAGTTTTTTGAAACAATCTTTAGGTGTGTTCACCTATTTTCAGCTGTAGCCCCTTATTTAGGTGTTACTCTGGCCTTTGATTCAGGATTTATATTGATGTTCCTCTGCTTTCCAGATAACTGGTGGTCTCAAGTGTGCCCAAGATATTTCCTCAGGCTAGTGGACCTCTATAAAGGCGCAGTGGTTTACCTCCTTAGTGGAAGAAAGACACTGTTGATCCCAGTCTTGTTCAGTAGCTACATTACAGCTGCTCTCAAACTTCTGGAGAAACTCCATAAGGTAAGAGGAGAGCCTGGATGCATGTTGGCTCAAGACGATTCAGTCTTGTCTGCCCTTTGCCAGTTGGCAGGGGAATAGTAGTCATGACCCTGACTTGTGAGCTGTGTCATTGTCCACTAAGACACCACATGGGGAAGATGTTAGTGGTTTTCCTGAATTCAGGGTACTTGAAGGTTGTTTAGTCCTGTCTCAAACACCAGGAAAAAATTACCCTAAAGAATGCTGCTGCTGAGCCACCAGATTGTGGGCACTGTGGCATCACAAATACTTGTCTCTTGATGCTTTCTGCTCGCAGTGTGTTGGTGCTGGGTTGTCTGGATGAGGATGAGAGTGAACTAAAATAAGTCAGAAGGAGGTTTATCTCAATTCTTCTTGGTTCATATTAAAATATCCAACCATGTGTTTTTGCAAGACTTTCTGAGTCCTATTGTTGCAAGCTTCTAAATTGGTTTTATGAAGGCAAACCTGCGTGTTCTAAGAAAAATGCTGGATATATCCGTATTTTAAAAACCATTGGTTTTCTTCACTAGGTGAATCAGAAGGTTAAACACGTAGAATATGATAAGTTTTACATCCCTGAGATTTCCAGCTTGGTGGACATTCAGGAGGATTATCTCATGTGGTTCTTGCATCAGGCTGGAATGGTAAGAGATTTTATGTATAGTCATGAAATAGTTCTCCATGTTTGTCTCTGGTTGTAGCTCTGTATTTTTAACATCCGTAATGAAAGTGTAATATATTCAGTATAGGAGCATCTGTATGTTAAATCTCTCAGATTTGGGTACTCAATGGCTTGACAAAGTTGACTTAAAATAAGGCTGTCAGAAGAGCTAACGATATTTAACTAATGCTTGCAACAGTCTCTGTGATTATTCATGTGGATTTCATTCAGTCCTTGCACAAAGGGATTAATTCAGTCACTGGATCCTTTTAATGTAATTGAGACCTCAGGAGCCAAATCCTGTATTCTAAAATTATAATTTTTACCCTTTACTTCTGCTGTTTAGGCAGGTATTGTGAATAATGTAGCCAGTGATGTTAAAATGTTGCTCTGTAAGAGGAGGCAGTGTGGCGTTCTGGCTAGGGGACTGAACCAAGACTCAAGAGATGTGGGTTCTATTCCTGGCTCTTCCAGTAACCTGCTGGGTGATCTTGGGTAAGACCCTTCACCTCTTTTATGCCTCACTTTCCCATCTGTAAGAAAGGAGATAATTAAACTGAGGGCTAGAATATGCTGTGTAGGAACCCAGTGAGATTAATTATAGCAAGAAAAGGAATCCCAAGTGTGAGAAAACACCAAAAAAAAAATCCGCCAAGGGATGCCACAAGAGTAAAACCTGACTGTAGCAAGAATTTTTGTGTGTTTTCATGGACCTTCTAAATGTTGTGTGTCCTGTGTCCCTCATCCCCGACTTTCCATCATTTAAATAGTGCTGTTCTGTGCTTACTTTTAGTGACCAGAACAATAAAATACTGACTCAAATTTATGTACAGTAATAGTTAAAAATGCTAAAAACGTATTGATATGGCTAATGAGACAAGTAATTTGCATTGCAGTAGTGGTCTTATATTGTTATGTTGTGGCTTTATGGTCTCTCCAGTTGTTTTGTATGGTCTCTGCCTTGGGGGTAGTTTTCTTGTTTTTCTTCGTTAAGAGTAAGTTTCACCTATGGCAGGCTAACACAGGCTTTTGTGCCAGTTAGTCCTCTTAGTAGCACTTGATGTTCAAGTTTTGAATTAGACTTGTGCATTTTCTTGAGAAGAAAGTTTCCATGCTTTTCTTTAAGAGGAAAAAAACCTGGGTTGTTGGTCCCAGAGGAGAGAAATTTTTGTTGGGTCACCTTTGAACTAGTCTGTCCAAAAAAATACAAGACACACAATCAAAAGAGTAAAAGATGTTTAGATTTCCCTCTTTATTCCTTCACAGAAGGTGAGACCATCTATCATGCAGGTAAGCATTGTTTTTCATGACTCTTACTTAAAGAATTGCTATGGAAGCTGTAGACAGGAACCAATCTGCCTGTCTGTCTTGCAGGATGCTGTGACGCTCTGTTCCTATCCTTTCATCTTTGATGCTCAGGCTAAGACCAAGATGTTACAGACAGATGCAGAACTACAGATGCAGGTAATCCTTTCCTCTCAATTTTCCTGCCCCATTTCTTTTTCTCTGTCTTTTGCATTAGTGCCTGCAAGGAAAGGCGTTCACTAGGAGTTAGTGTGTGCAGCACTTATTGTTTCCATGATACAGGAGAACAAAGTATCCAGAGAACCTCTTTGCCCTGGATACTGCAGAGTCAGTGCTTGGCGTCTTTCACTTCAAAATGTTTGGTAACGTCAGAACTGCTAGATGTGCATGTGGTGGAAATTTGAACCATATAGGGAAGGAGTACTTAGGTATTTATGATAGTCTAAGGATAAGAAGTAAGGTGAGGTCTCTGTTAGAGGAGCTGTAAGGCTGGAAAAGTGGACGAGCTTTCAGGGAGTAGGCACTCTTCAAGTTCCTGCCTGGTGCAGGAGGAGTGGTTGTCAGAAGTGAGGGTTGAAGACCAACTCCTGACACTGTGGTTGCAGGCAGCAGCTCACCCACCCACTTGCAGTGAGAGCCAAAGACCTGAGGCTCTCCAGGAGTGTGTTCCCAGCAGGTGTTCAGCTCCAGCACCCTTACCCTGTAGGGGGCAGGCAAGCCAGCTCACAGCCAGGCTGTGACAAGGACAGCTGACCTCTGTGCCAATGTAAACCTCCCAGTGCCAGGCGTTGCTCATGCAGGTGGCTCCTGAGAGGGTCCAAGCATTGGGCATGGATCCCCTCATCCAGTGCAGCTGGGGTCTGGGAGTAGTCCCATCCTTTGTGAAATGAGTTTGCCAAGGTCCTTGGTTGTCAGGTTCCTTCAGGGTGGAAAACTGTGGTCTCAGTCACTCGTGGCCATGATGCTGGTTCCATGTAATATCCATCTCTTGGCTTTTCTATGGCAGCATGAACACATAGCCCACAGTAAGGCAGAGGAGGCTCAGCCTACACTCAGAAGGTGGAGTCACCTTCTCCTGCTTTCATTTTATCACTCTCTTGTGTATATTTTCAGCTGCCCAGTTTGTGAGCAGTGCACTGCTGTGAGGAGGGTATCTACTTTATCTTGGCAGGACAGCAGGCTGGTAAAAGTTTTGTTGTGTTGCGAGATAGGATCTTTGTGAAGACAATCACTTGGAGACCAAAGAAACCAGTACTTCTGTGAGTGCTGGAACAGGGGAAGCCTGATTGCCAGCGGATTTCTGTCTCAGATTTAACTGACTTTTGAAGTGAATTTATAAATGTGAATTTGCTATTTGCGTGAGAATGAATATACTATGTGTGGTGAAAGCTTGACAGGACTTTGTGCCATACCTGACTCCAGAAAATCCATGTAGGTGAGAGCTTTGAATTGGATGCGATGTGTTCCCTGGTGCCTTGCCAGGTGTGATTGTCAACTGGCTCCTCACTTGGTATGTTACTAACATACTGAGTTTCTTGACTCAGTAAGATCATGAATAAAGCCTCTTCTCCCCACCCACCTGCCTAATGTCAAAAAATGTTCAGGAATTTGATCTCTCAAAATTGTTGCTCAAATTTGGCAAATCAGTCAGTGGACTCAAAAGGTGTTGGTGTGGGAAATGGGTGTGGGGAGCTAGATGTACAGGCATACACACTTGTACAGAGTGAGCGTGTAATCCTTGTACCCTGGGGAAACCAAACTAGAAGAGTAAGGAAAAAAGGAACACCAGGCATATAATTGTTAACAGTTTTCCTTCCATAGGAAGAAAATAGCTGAGCAGTGGCTGTGTTTCACCCCTCTCTTATTTACAGGTTGCAATAAATGGTGCAAATTTGCAGAATGTCTTCATGCTTCTCACCCTGGAGCCTCTGCTGGCCAGAAGCCCTTTCCTGGTACTTCATGTTCGCAGGAGTAACTTAGTTGGCGATGCTTTAAGGGAGTTGAGCATCCATTCAGACATTGATTTGAAAAAGCCTCTTAAAGTAAGTTTTCCCCACACCTTTAGCACCTTCTCATCCAGCTGACATTTCTGCAGCCTTTTGGCTCTTCACAGTACCGCTTCATCAGTGTACAGTGGCTTTTGCATAGGTAGAGCACACAGGGACTCATCTTGATCTAATCAATGTGAGGGTTGAGTCTTTGTCCAGTCTGCCTCCTGGAGTGTTTTGGCAGTGGATAGTTTACAAGAAGGCAGGCAGGGTTTACTCTCTTTTCCTGGTCTATCCACTGTATAAGTGGGAGGGGAGGAAACATTTCTATGATTTTATGCAATCTCTGTTGTGCTCTTCTGCAGGAACAGGCCACTTATAATAGGACATGTTTTATCTCAGAGGTTGCTACAGAATTCAGCAGCTGCTGTCATGTTGCTTTGGTTGTTGGGAGGACACTTGGTTGTTTGATTTGCATAAGGAGTTAAACACTTTCAAAATACCTGATTTGCCTTCCCTCCCTGCAAGCAGAGCACTGAAACAGGCTCATGGGTTGCAGTGGGTTTAGGCATGTTAGACAAATTGCTTTGCCTGGCTCCCAATTAGAAAGATGTCCGATTCACTCAGTCTCAGCTCTGCGTCCTCGTTACTAACCTGCTTTCTTTACAGGTCATCTTTGATGGTGAAGAAGCTGTTGATGCTGGAGGAGTCACAAAGGAATTTTTCCTCTTGTTGTTAAAAGAACTCCTCAACCCCATCTATGGCATGTTCATGTACTACCCAGAGTCAAACCTGCTGTGGTTTTCAGACACGGTGAGTCCTTGCCCTCTATACACGCAGGTTGAAATAATATGCTGCATTTGAATGACAAGAAAGTGGCCAACTATGGGAAAGAAATGATCTTCCTCTCATTTTCCACCCATGATACAGTGTGAGCTGTATTTTCAGTCAGTGTAAACGAGTATAGGTCCATTAACTTTAGTGGAACAGTGATGATTGTGCCTGTTAGGGAGCTGGCTCTTTCTTTTTATTCTTATCCCGTAACAAAACTTGTGTTAAGTAACAGATGACAGTTAGCAGAACTCTTATTATCATGAATGTGATAATCATGTGCTGTTTTACAGAACCAGAGGTTTAGGTCATGATGGCATTAGAATTCTGTGCTTCCCTTGCTGTTCTCGTAATTGCAGCCAATCCACTTAGTCATGCATTGCTATCACCTTCAGGGTTTAAACTTGTTAGTGCTTTATGTGAGGAAGCTCTTAAACAGCAAGAAACATGGTTTGTAGTGAAAGTTGGTTGGTTTTGGAAGAGTGTGGAGTGCAAGTTTTGTACCTGTCAGATAGCATTATGCTGGAAGTTGTGGTTTGTGTACTTCTTTTTTCATCTTCCTAGGTAGCAAGATGGGAAATGATGTCAGTCTTCCCTTAAGGTGTAGCTGCCCTGGTGGGGTTGTTTTAAATTTATTAATTATATTTTGCAAGGAAGGAAATTACATGGTACCTTTTGTAACTTGTAAACAGTATTACAGAGCAATTACTCTTCATGTTAATGCTATAAAGCCTTTTGACACTGAATAGTGACAGTGTAAGCACTGAAAATGAGTCACGTATTTACACATTTAACAAATATAGGCAGCCAGTCTGTGACTGACATACCAGTGTGAGAGTAAATATGCAAAGGAACGAAGGCCGATATACCAGCACCCATGTTGGTGTATTTGCCTGGGTGGCACTGTGGTTATGCAGAAGCTTTTAGTAGAAAATAGGATGGGTGATAGGGAGAGAATTGTTAACACATTTCCTTGCAGTACATAGACAGCAAACATAGAACCTTTGTTAATGTCTAAAGGCAGAGGTATGTAAAAAGGAAAGAAAAGGTAGATAAGGTGGAAGGCAGCTGTTGCCCTTTCCACAGCTAATCATGGCTTACAGAAGTAATAGCGCTTGGTTTCTGAATCTTCGTTTCTGTGCCACACTTCAGCAAGGAATTCACAGCCAAACTGGGACCTGATGGGAGCGCTCTGTTTTTTGTCCCAGTTGTAAAAGCAGGGACTGGCTTCTTGGTGCATGGGGGAAAGGGTACTGTGCATTGCACCAGTGACAGCATGTCTCATCAGGATTTCTCTGTGTGGTTTTGCAGTGTTTTGTAGAACACAACTGGTTTCACTTGATTGGCATCATATGCGGTCTTGCAATATACAACTTCACAGTGGTAGACCTTCACTTTCCCTTGGCTCTGTACAAAAAACTCTTGAACGTGAAGCCCTGCCTAGAGGATTTGAAGGAGCTATCCCCTACGGAAGGGAGGTATGAAAAACAAAATTTGCAGCCTTTCTGGGAAGGGAGACCATCCAACCGAGAACAAGAAATGCCAAACTGAGTAAAAGCAGTTCAGTAAAACACTTCCTGATCCTTTTGAGTGGCTGATTAATTTGGAGGGCTGTGATCCTAGCAAAGTACATAAGCCAGTGTTGAATTTCACATAAGACTTGACTTCTCCCACAGGCTATCAGTTCCATCTTCTTAGACTCTAACCTCTGTACTCACCTTCCCAAGCCCCAGAAACTGCGTATCGATGCAGCCAGAAGATACCTACTGCACTCCTTTGAAAACAGGGGTGGGGGCATGTCCCTCTGCTCTGCGATGGCATGCATGATCCTAGCCTCAGCCTTTGCCCTCAAGCCAGGCTTGGGCTAGCAAGCAGATCTGCTGCGTGTCTCGTGATGTAGCCCAGGATGGGAACTGTGCGTTGAATGTGAACTGTCCCATCCCTCAACCAGTGTAACTGGCCTGCTCCTGTGTCAGAAAGAAGTTGAATGGAGTGAAGGAATGACTTTTTCTAAATGGCGTATGGATCTTTTCTGCCTAATTGCATGAGGATATTGGTTCTCTCTGACACGGAGAGGTTAAGATCCCACTGTCTGACTGCTGTCTTTTTTTCTTCTGAATTGCTGTCTGATTTATTTGCCCAAAGCAAAAGCTGTATTTGGCAATAATGAGGTAAAATGCCAGGAAGACAGCAGCAAGATTTTGAGGGATAAGAGAAGAATATTTTCTACATGATGGGGATACAGTTATAATCCACCATGCTCTCTTCCTCCACTCCCTTAGACCTTTGTGTGGTGATGGCATAAATAGCAGTCCTTAAGAACTAGAAATATAATTCTATTCTAAGGCCAGGATCACTGAAGTGGATCCATGTAATAGGTAGTCATGGACTATATTGATAATTTGTCTTGACTGGCATTTATCTTGCTTCTAACAAAGCATTCTCTTCATTTGAGGTGTATTTCTTACCCCCTCAGGTGACTCAGAGATTCTCTCTTGCAATCCTATTACCCAGATGTAAGATGCTGATTACTTTTGCTGATTTTCTTTTCCCCTTTAGATGTATGGTGTTTTGAATCTCTGATATTTTTTTTCTAATTTCTTTCTTTACCTGTTATGTAGGAGTCTTCAGCAACTTTTAGATTACCCTGGGGAAGATGTAGAAGAGACATTCTGCTTGAATTTTACAGTAAGGCACACTTAACATATCTACTCTGTGATTGTTATGGTACAGTTGAAGCCCATCTACTTATTCATGTGTATTATGGTTTATTCCAAACTATGTCTGTGGTGTATACCACATGTTAATGTTAATTTTGAAATGTTAAAATTATTTGCTGTCAACTCCCCTGTTCTTTTGTATATTGTCATGAAAACTGAGCTAGTAAGCAGAGTGGTTTTCGAAATAGCCTTGTTGTCACTTTGGCATGTGACTTAAATGCCAGTGGCCAGCTTCTCACACTAGACAGTGAGAAGTAGGTTCCTAAATCTTCCTTGAAAATGGAAGTCATCTTTTCATAGAATCGTAGGATAGTTTGGGCTGGAAGGGACTGTTAAAGGCCATCTAGTCCAACCCCTCTGCAGTGAGCAGGGACATCTTCAGCTACATCAGGTTGCTCAGAGCCCCGTCCAACCTGGCCTTGAATGTTTCCAGGGATGGGGCTTCTGCCACCTCTCTGGGCAGCCTGATCCAGTGTTTCACCACCCTCATTGTAAAAAATGACTTCCTTCTATCTAGTCTATATCTATTATCTTTTAGTTTAAAACCATTGCCCCTTGTCGTGTTGCAACAGGCCCTGCTAAAAAGATTACCCCAATCTTTCCTGTAGGCCCCCTTCAAGTACTGGAAGGCCACTATAAGGTCTCCCTGGGGCCTTCTCTTCTCCAGGCTGAGCAACCCCAACTCTCAGCCTGTCCTCCTAGGGGAGGTGCTCCAGCCCCCTGATCATTTTTGTGTCCCTCCTCTAGACCTGCTCCAAAAGGTCCATGTCTGTCCTCTGCTGAGGACACAGCACTCCAGGTGGGGTCTCACCAGAGAGTAGACGGGAGAGAATCCCCTCCCTTGACCTACTGGCCACACTTCTTTTGGTGCAGCCCAGGATACAGTTGGCTTTATGGGCTGCAAGTGAACATTGCTGGCTCATATTCAGTTTTTCATCCACCAACACCCCTAAGCCCTTCTCCGCAGGGCTGCTCTCGATCCCTTCATCCCCCAGCCTGTATTGATACTGAGGATTGCCCTGACCCAGGTGCAGGACCTGACACTTGGCCTTGTTGAACCTCATGAGGTTCACATGGGCCCACATCTCAAGTTTGTCCAGATCCCTCTGGATGGCCTCCCATCCCTCAGACATGTCAACTGCACCACTCAGCTTGGTGTCCTCTGCAGACTTGCTGAGGGTGTGTTCAATCCCACTGTCTATGCCACCGATGAAGATATTAAACAGCACTGGTTGCAGTAGGAACCCCTGAGGGACGCCGGTTGTCACTGATCTCCATCTGGTCATCAAGCCGTTGACCACTGCCCTCTGGATGTGACCATCCAACCAATTCCTTATCCACTGATCAGTCTACCCATCCAATCCATATCTCTCCAATTTAGAGAGAAGGATGTTGTGGGGGACTGTGTCAAAGGCCTTACAGAAGTCCAGATAGACGACATCAATAGCTGTTGCCTTGTCCACTGATGTACTCACTCCATCATAGAAGGCCACTAGATTGGTCAGGCAGGACTTGCCCTTGGTGAAGCCATGCTGGCTGTCTCAAATCACTCCCTGTCCTCCATGTGCCTTGGCATAGCTTCCAGGAGGATCTTTTCCATGGCCTTCCCAGGCACAGAGGTGAGGCTGACAGGTCAGTAGTTCCCAGGGTCCTCCTTCTGACCCTTTTTAAAAATGGGTGCGATGATTCCCTTTTTCTAGTCACCAGGGACTTCACTTGTCTACCGTGACTTTTCAAATTTCATGAAGAGTGGCTTGGCCACTATATAGGCCAGTTCCCTCAGGACTCTGGGACCTGATGAGATGCATCCCATAGACTTACACGTCTTCAGGTTCCCCAGGTGGTCACGAACCTGATCTTCTCTTACAGTGGGAGGGACTTTGTTCCCCCAGTCCCTGCCTTGAAGTCCATCCACTTGAGAGATGTGGGAAGAGAGGTTGCCAGTGAAGACTGAGGCAAAAAAGTTGTTAGGTACCTCAGCCTTCTCCTTGTCCTTTGTTACCACTTTGCCTTGTTCCTGAGGGCAGTTTCCCAGGGGGTCCTATTGACTAACTCCTCAAAGAGCTGAAATTTTGCTTTCCTAAAATTCAGGATCCTGACTCTACTCTTTGCCTGACCCATATTCCTCAAGACTGTGAGCTCCATCAGGGTGTGATCACTGCAGTCCAGGCTGTATTTTGACATCACTAGGTCAAGTCTTGAAATGCTAACACAATGTAGAGTTTTCCTTGCTGTCATAATAATACTTTTTAACTTAAAAATTTATAGCAGGCGTACTTGGTCAGACTTTCTTAGAAACAAAATGCTGGAGGCTATTGCTAGGAGACATGCTGAGGTAGTAGCTTTCCTGTGCTACTACAGCAGTAAAAGAATTTTTTTTTCTAGCTAGTGACCTAGATGCAATAGTTTCTATTACACAATGAAGGTTCCCTGGAATTAAGAGTTCAGTCTTAATGTCATGGAATATCAGCTATGTCCCTGTAAAGATTTAGAACAAAGAGAGATGGCATCATTATTCTCCAAGCTGTTTTCCTGTGTTGACTTGGGCTGGGTAAGGGCTTACATGTTTCAGTGTTTTCACTTTGAAGTCCTGATGCCCTAACAGGTTGAGTGATGGGTTCATCTTTGACTCGATCTGGGTTCTTGACTCTCTGTCCAGGACCTGCCTGGGGTAAAATCAAGGTACCAGGAAACTGCTACACACTGTGAAGAAAATCCTTGCTGAGCTAGGAGAGTTGTGACCATTTCCTTGTTTCATAAATGAGAGCACATAAAGTCTCTTAGACAAACTTGCCTCTGGAGGGAGTGAGACCTGGGTCTGACTGCGTCTCGTGCAGGTCAGAGCTGCAATTCAGGATGAGGTAATGAAGCCATAATGAGGATAGTGCAGACTATGTAAAAAAGAATACCTTTGAAGTAACACATGAGGTTTTTTTCCAAATTCTCTTTTCACACAAAAGGGCATTCTTGCTCTCTCTTTCTGGCACTATATACTGCATATATAATATATATATATAAAGACGTACAGATGTCTGCTAAAACTTTGAAATTAATAAAGAACTGATATCCCAAACCTTGAAATTAATAACTGATCTTGCATGTCAAAATCTGAGCCTCTTTTTTTGTATGGCAACTTGAAAATTGATCCTTTTGCATTTTTTTCCCATAACTGACTTTGTATGTACAGAATATATGCTTGTACTGGTGCCATCATAGGCCAGGCAAAAGCAGGAAGCTGTCTGTGGTCAAACCATCTTACAGTGACAGCAGATGAATTAACCTGTTGAGCTTCTATTGTAAAAAAAGAAGGGAGTCCTTATTGCCAGAGCATGTAGTCTTGGTTAAATACAGGGGGTTTTAGTTATCAATCTCTTAGGTTTTTTTCACAGGAAATTTAACTGAAATAATAATTCTTTTCCTTTCTGAGTCTGCATTTAGACTCAATAGCAGTCCTAGAGCAAATGTAAATGATGGAAGATGGTGACACATGCAGGGCATTTGGAGCAGAGAAAAAACGCTCTGCATGTACCCTTTTCTCTGGCCCACCCTTCACATGCCAGTCATCATCTGTGAAAGAGAACTCTATTGTTCTGCAGGCATATGGCCTGAAAAGCATTTCTGGTAAAACTAGCTTTCTGGTTTTGTATAGATCTGCAGGGAAAGCTATGGTGTGACAGAGCAGAAGAACCTGATTGAAGATGGAGATAAAATTCTGGTGCAGAAGGACAATAGGTAAGTGGGGCTTATGTGGGGATGGAGTCATGCTTGTGGTGAAGTCAGGTGCAATGCCATAGAAAACAGACTGAGGTGAAATGTGGGACAGAATTAGAAGTCACTGCAAACAAATTTTAAGACCAGTTGTTCAAAAGTTACTGGGTGCCACCAATGTTTGGAAAATGCCCTACACCCTTGCGATGGACATCCTCCCTATAAAAGGCCTTCATATAGACCCTCGGCAGTTTTCTCATGGTGAATAGAGATTGCAACGTGATTTTGGCTCTTGAAGGTTAAGCTCCCTGATGGCTTAGAGGGGAACTGTATGTGCCCGATGAAACTGGGCCTGGCACACTTGTTTATGCTATTAATTCTGGAGCCGGAAACACTTGCCCTTGAATACACCTGATAGAGGACCTCCATCCCTGATTGGAGCTGTAAGGCCCTACTGTACACAGATTCCTTTCTGTTTGACTGAACATTTGAGAGTTATTACTAGCACACCCCCCCCCCCTTTTTTTTTTTCCAGTTGCTAAACTATTTTCTTCTCATAATCCTGTAATTGGATTTCTACAAATGCCTTTGTTACTTGAAGCAGTGTTCAAATTCTTTCTCTGCTGGCAAAACAGTGTGATCCAGTGACTAGTCAGCAGCATGGTTAGGGGCTTGTGCTAGGATTGCTGAAGACCTTGCTGGCAAGCTTGGAGATGAAGTAATTTCCTATTAATCTGATTATTTAAAAGGGTTCTGATTGTGTCTAAAGCCATTGCTGTAACAAAAGCTTTGTCCATATTACCTTCTTACCTACTTCACTACTGCCCAAAAGGGTGCAATTTTACAGATAAATAGCTTCCTCCCTGCAAAACCACGTGGAGATGGAGCAGTGTAGGTCTGTCTCCCTGAAAGAGAAGATGGGCTTCAGGTAAATAGAGGAGAGTTTAATCTACACTTGCAACAGTGAAGTAAAGATGAAAATGCCAGTGATAGTACCGTTTAGGTTTTTAGGCTGGACATGTACACTCAAAAGAAAAATGGCCATTTTTCTACTGTGTGCCATACTGGCCTAGGGGCAGGAACAAAGAGTTTAGCTGAGCAAATGTTTGGGAAGAGCACCCAGGTTAGCTCCTGCAACTGTTTATTAAGTCAGGATAGGCAACAAGAGAAGCAAATCCTTAAGGAGAAAAGGCTAGGCTGTGGCTGCACTGACTTAATACATTCCAGAATGCAATTGCTTCATCTTGACCAGAGTTTTGAACTCGAGCTAACCTCTAAATCCGAGTCTAGACGTGGATGTCAGTTCATCCACCTTACAGTGCTTAATGACTTCCTCCACCCCTACATTTAGAGGCCAGGGACCAATTTACTGCCCTCCTGGTCTGAATAGTTTGCTATGTGCGTGCCTTTGGGCACTGCCCTTCCTGCTTGTGGGAAGTTCTCTGGGAACTGAAGAATGCACAGGATTGCTTCGACTGAAAAATGCCTGGAAAAGTAGGAAACGCCTGCATTTTCCCTTTCTCCTTTGGAGTTCATATTGGGTGTCATGCCAAAATATTCTTGATAAAGGGTTCATGACCGTAACAGCCAGAGAGGTATTAAGCAACAGTTAAGTGCTTAATCAGCTTGAATTTCCCTAATGCTCAGGTGACTATTGGGAAAATGACGATAAAACAATGTGCTGCAGAATAACTCCACCTTTGCTATATGATTTCTTATTCCAAGTTTTTTTATTTGTCAGTCTACTTCCTTATTTTTGTTTTTTACTTTCTCGCCTGTCCCTCACTGCTTTTACGTAACATAGGCATTGAGAATTCCTTCACCAAAAGGTCAAAATATTTCTCTCAGTTGTGACCTCATCAGCTAGAGATTGAGATACAGCGTTCCTTGGTGTTCCCTGATCTGCTTCTCCCTCTGAGTGCTGGTGTCAGCTGCTCTCGAGTGTCAGGCAAGAACAACACCTCCACCCACAGAGAATAGTTTTGTGTCCCAGTTTGCCACATAAAGTCAGGAAATACTTTAAGTCATTGCACAAATAAAATCTTAGCATGGCTCTCGGATCACGGTGCTTTGAGAGTAGGAAAGAGAGTAATAAAGACGCTTAACCTCCTGATAAAATCCAGAGACGGGGTTTGGCCAGGGCCTGCCACAAGCTTCTTGCCAATGACTACAGAACGGTTTTTTTTTTAATTTTTAGTGCTGTTCTTGGGAACCCTTGAGGTAAAACAGGGTTGTGGTTCTGAGAGGAGTCATTCTCGTTGCCACGTCCTCCAAATGCACGTGTCCTGTATTTATTTAACCAGAGTGTGAAGGCTGAAAGGCCGTGCTTTTTGAGACTATTTTCTTGCTCTGTAGTGAGGGGTGTTTCTTGATTTCTTTTTGTGGCTCTCTCTTTGGGGCCAGGAGAGAGGGAGCTGGCCATGCAGTTTCAGATCAAGACTCTTCAGAGCAGGATTTCCTCTGGGCTACAGATTTGGCTTTGAAAGGGCTGAACCACTGGCAAGACTCACTGGGGAACTGAGTCAGCAGGAGCTGCCTCTGAAAATTCACATAACTAGGGCTCAGTGAGGCTCTTGGTTGTGAAGTGGTAAGTCTTCTGGGCACTGTCTGTTCCCTCTCCCCAGCAGAGTGCTTGCTCACAGCAACCTGGCAGGTCATTGCAGGTGGGCAGAGAGCCCTATGCGGAGTAACCCCGGATGCCTGCGGACTGAGAAGAGCCGTAGGTTATTTCCTGGACTTCCTAAACATAGGCTTGCAGGAGCTGAGCCAGGGTGTGGACATGTTCCTCTGGTGACTGAATCCTGATACTTGCTTAACATGACCTCTGTGCAGGCCACGGGTTCCATAAGGAAGAGGGCTCCGTTCCTGACACCTCCCCAGCGTTTGGTGTCATTCTGGCTGGCACCATGGGCAACTGGATGCGAAGCCACTGGGTGGGTTTACTGGTGGTATAGACCTGGGCTGCTGGGGGACCTCCCATGCTGCCACTGCTGGGGAATAAGCAGACACATGGTGGTACTTGCTGCCTAATACTTTGTTTATGTTGCAGTGACTCAGTGAGAGGAGGGCAGTGGGTTAAACCTGTTGGAGACTCGTGTTTGCAAGACACATTATAGGCAGAAACAGGAAAAACTTAGCAGTGGTGCTGCTCAGGCATGTGATTAAAAGTGCTTTCCTTTGCCTGCTCTCTCTTGATGCACTAGGGAAGAATTTGTTGAAGCCTACGTAAATTACATCTTCAACCTCTCCATCCATGAGTGGTACACGGCCTTTTCCACTGGCTTCCTGAAAGTGTGTGGTGGGAAAGTCCTGGAACTCTTCCAGCCCACAGAACTCAGGGCCATGATAGTTGGAAACAGTAACTACAACTGGGAGGAACTGGAGGAGGTAAAGCTTCCCTCATCGTATTTTTCTTCTTTTTCACAAGTACCAGGATTGCGCAGCTGCATGAGGTGGGCACTGGCCTGGGACATAAGACGTGATAAGCCACAGATGTCTTTTCTTTTTTAGGCTCCCTGTACACCTTGCTGTCATTCGCATGAAAAGTTTCTTACTGGGCTGGTTTGCTAGTGATAAAGCTCAGGGAGGAAATTCAGGATGAGAAGGACAGGGGAGAAGGACTTCCATCTGCTGTTTTTAGGGATGAAACCTAAGACTGCAGGGTCTTCACCTACAGTAAAACTTACTCCACAAGGGCAAAAAGTACACAGCTGAGGGTTCAAAGAGGAGTCTGAACACGAAGTAAGAGTTGTATCCTCTTAAAAGGCATAGATCAGCAAGTTACTTGCTTGGTCTCAGCCTCAGCAGTAACAGAGGCTTTGCAACGCAGAACATGATCCTGGTCATGTGTCCAGCCTGTGAACAGATACTCCAGGATTCCTCATGACACATGTAGTTAGCTGAATAGCTACAGCCTGGTGCCTGCCTTCTGTGTATTGCTAGGAGAACCCTTCGTTAGGTCTTTGAGCTATCCTGTGCTCCATTTAGTAACTGTCAGACATCAATACAATGTCAGATACCAGAAGACATCAGGTCTGGTTTCTGCTTAGTCTTTGCTTTTTGATGCCAGGTGGAATGATGTGACTTTTTTTTTTTTAATAGAGTGCTGTATATAAGGGAGACTACACTGCAACACACCCAACTGTGAGAATGTTTTGGGAAACCTTTCATGCGTTTCCCTTGGAAAAGAAGAAGAAATTTCTCTGTAAGTATTTTACAGTGGTGCAGAGTGTCTCCTGAAATTGAAGACTCAGGTGGGAGTGTCTGCAGAGCTCCATGGTTATGGCACATTGCATTAAGTGCTAGAAGATGATCCAGCTTGAATGGCTGTCCTCCAGAGTTACCTGCTAGTCAGATAATTTGTTTTCTTCCTCTTTCGTTTGTTTTTCTTTTGTGTTCATTTTTACCCTCAAAATCACTGGGTGGTATCTGTAGCCTCTCACAAGGGAGTGCAGTATCCATCCGTTCACATTGCCGGGTGGTGAATTCATAGCAGTCCTCAGTGCCCAGACTTGATCCAGTTCCTCCTTCTGCAAGCTGAGCTTTCTGGCATGGCAGCACTCTTTTCAGAGGCAACGGGGCAGTCTTTCCTTTCTCCTCAGCACTGGTGAGGCCACACCTGGAGTGCTGTGACTAGTTCTGGTCTTCCCAGTGTACAAGTCTTCCCAAGAGGGACATGGACATTCTGGAGAGAGACTCCAGTGAAGGGTTGTTAAGATGACTGGGACACTGGAGCATCTCTTCTATGAGGACAGGCTGCGAGAGCTGAGGCTGTTCAGCCTGGAGAACAGAGGGTTCACGGAGGACTTCGTCAATGAGTACAAATACTTGAAGGGAGGGTGCAAAGAGGATGGAGACCAGTTCTTCTCAGTGGTGCCCAGTGATGGGACCAGAGGCAGTGGGCACAAACTGAAACACAGTGGGTTCCTTCTGAATGTCAGGAAATACTTTTTCCCTGTGAGGGTGATGGAGCACTGGCACAGTTACCCAGAGGGGTCGTGTAGTCGCCATCCTTGGAGATAACCAGAATCTGGACACAGTGCTGGGCAGCATGTTCTAGGTGGCCTTGCTTGAGCAGGGATGTTTTCTCAGAGGACCTCCAGAGGTCCCTTCAACCTCAGCCACTCTATCATTCTGTGAATGCTGAAAAGATAAAGGCCAGTGGTTTTTGTGGGAGGTTTTTTCCCCACGAAGAAACAAGCAGTCAGCTAGTTGTCCTGCATGTCTGAGTTGGAAAAATGGCTCAGCCAAAACTTGCACGCCAAAGTTAGCAGCTGTGTAGAGAGGGTCCCAGTTCACAGCAGAGGCTTTTGTGGGTAACTCCCCCTTCCCTCCAGGCCGCCATGGCAGGGACAGAGCACGGGGTCATGCTCAGGGGAGCGCGAGTGTGATGGGGAGCAACAAGGAGGAGCCCGCCCTGCTCCAGGCATCGAGGCACTGTGCCTGGGAGGGGTGGCAGCAGGGAGCGTGGCTGGGCTCCCTCTGCCTCCCCAGGGGTGTGCCTCTGCCGCTGGCTTTGCTCCCTTTTACCCTGCCTGGGCGTGACAGGCAGATGTCAAGGGAAGGGGCTGCTGTGGGACGCTTTATTGACTCATCTGCGCGCCCAGCAGTGGCCTTGCTTCTTGCCTCTGCTCTCCTGGACCTCCTCTGCGAGCCCAGCCATGCCTGGCATGGAGTCCGGGCAGCGTTTGGGCCCCTCCAGGCAGGGCCCTGCCCTGCGGGTGGGGATGAAGCTCGCCTTCGGGTGCAGCCTGCAGTGCGAGGTCGCCCGCCCTGACTGTCCAGCCTTCCCTCTGCTTCTCCTAGTGTTTCTGACGGGCAGCGACCGCATTCCCATCTACGGCATGTCCAGCCTGCGCATCGTCATCCAGTCCACCGCCAGTGGGGAGCAGTACCTGCCGGTGGCACATACCTGCTACAACCTCCTGGACCTGCCCAAGTACAGCAGCAAGGAGATCCTCAGTGCCCGGCTGGTGCAAGCCATCGATCACTACGAGGGCTTTAGCTTAGCTTGACCGGTGCGGGAGAGGCACAGAGGCTTCGGTACGGAGGAAGAAAAAGATGGGCTTGGCTTTATTTTTGTGACGGGATGGATCAGCACATTTTTTGGGAAAATTAATAAATAATAATAATAATAGATTGAGATGATGCAGTCTCAGCCTGATGCTGCCAGCATTTTGGGGGGGGGCTTCAGCAGGGAGAGGCAATTGTTTTGAATTTTCTCATCTACTGAACAAAATCAGTTCAGTGGGCATTTTTGTTGTTTCCCCTCCAACATGACATCACTGCCCTCGCAGCCATTCCTTGTAGTTTGCTTTTATTGCCCCTACACACACACAAACACACATGCACACAGACACACACACACTCCCTTACCTCTCCTTTTAATCCTGTTTAAATATTTTGATGTTCCTTGCATTTAGGCTATGGTGGAAATTGAGGATGAAATAGGGATCTCCTTGAAAAGCTGTGATTTTTCCCCCCACCCTTTTTTCCTCCCTTTTAAAATGCAAGCTGGTTCTTGCTTGTCTCCAATGGAAATGTCCCCTCTGCCCTTTGGTCCTTGGCAGATGGTACTGGGCTGGGATGTCATTTGTGACCCCCAGGGCGGTGTATTGGTGATGCTCTGTCTTTTTGCACCAGGATATCTCATGGAGAATATGATGATTTGGGGAGGTTGGTTTGTTTTTCCTCACTTGTCTCAAATTTTGTTCCCAAGCAATGTCATCTTAAAGAAGCCACAGACTCCTCTGGAGTGGGTTTTGTGTTCAGGCTTGTGGAAGTCCAAACCCTACCTATAATAACAGGTTTCTCGAACTGCATCTCTGTGGTGTTGTGTTTCTATCTTGGCAAGTCTACAAGTTGGATGGGTGGGCTTTGCTGAGCCTTGCTTTTCCACCCAAACAGACCTGTTATTCCAATACAAGGTGAGGTGGCTGCTTCTACCACTGCCGCTGTTCTCCCGAGGAGTCACGTGCCTGTGAGCATATGGGGGTGAGTGTATGAGGTGTGTACAAGCTCTCCAGTCTCATCAGCTGTTTTGCTGGGGGGCCCTAAAGGAAAATATGGATTAGACTGGAAGTACATTAGGACTTGAGTAGGCAAAATCATCACTTAAATCTATCCTGTAAGGTTGGAGAGCCTTTATCCTCTTTCCCCCAGTCTCACCCCCCCCAGTGAAGTTTGAATGATTCCCTCCTCCCCACATTTTTCAGGTGTTGATGTAAATCTCATTTTAAGTCTAGGATGGTTTTGACATTGACTTGTAATTAGGACATAGTATTTATGCACCACGTTCAATACACAGTATTGGACTTTACACCTCGTAACAAAGGTTTTAGGCTCCTGGGTTTTTTTTTTAAGACAAGCTGTGGGCTACACTGAGAGCCCTCCAGCCTCTTTCTAATGCAGCATTGAAGACAAATATACAATTATACCAAATGTTTATTTTCGATGTGTGTGTACATAGTACAGTATTATGCAATAAATTTGATGTTTAATTCTGACTTGAGTGGCTGCCTTTGTGTCAGGAAGCAAAGGAGGGGCTGCTGCAGCCCACTCTGCCTCTCCTGCTAGTCTCGCCCTACCTCTGAGCATCGGGAAGAAGGGTGCTGCTTCCCTCTGCCTTGGCCCCGCTGCTGGTGAGCCCCTCAGGCTGTCCCCTTGTTGCTTGCTTCAATCAAGTGCTGCCCTTCCCCTTCCTCACCTGGGTTCAGCCCGGTGTGCTGGTTGCTAAATGAGAGCAGGGCAGGGTGCAGTCCCAGCCCTAGGGGACATTGCTGTCTCCACAGGCTGAGCAGGAGTTTTATCTGCCTGTCCTGGCTCAACCGAAGTCAGGCAAGTCCTCTGTGGAAGAGCTGGGAATTCCATCCCTGTCCCTTCATCCCCACACCACGGGTGTTTCGCCACGTGTCGTCCCACCTCGCAGGCAGCAGGGCGTGCAGCAGCGCCTTTCCTCATGGCGCTGAAGGCCACCGAAGCTCCTCCAGCCCGTGGCCTCTCCTGCCTGGCCCTGCAGGACAATGGCCTCAGGGGCCCTGTGATCCCAGCACCCCAAGGTGCCTGGGTCCACGGCTGGGTGCTGGAGGCAGCGAGGCCATGGCAGCCCTGCAGTACCGCGTGCGTCTGCTCTACATCGGACTAGCCTCGGCGCTGGTTGTTCATTAACTAATATGTTATTAATTAACGAGGGGCCTGTGTGCGTGGGAGCTGGGGCAGCAGTACCAGACACTTGCAGAGGGAGAGAGAGACAGAGAGACAGAGAGAGAGAGAGAGAGAGAAAGAGAGAGAGAGACAGAGAGAGACAGAGAGAGAGAGAGAGAGAGAGACAGAGAGAGAGAGAGAGACACAGAGACAGAGAGAGAGAGTGTGTGTGTGTGTGTGTGTGTGTCGCCACTCTGCTCGGGGAACCCCCACCCTCTCACCCCAAAATGGGCCTGGGGAGGGGGTGCTCAGCACCTGCTTGTCAGCTGCAGCCTGGGGATTCAGCCAGCAGTAATGTGGCCCCATGGTGCTTGTCCAGCTCCCCAGCATCATGGGACATCATTAGCATGTGCAAATATAGTTAATTTACCGGCTTAATACACAATTCCCATCACGTGGGCTTATGGCCTCAACTTTCCTAAGCTTATGAAGGAAGGGTGCTGCTCGCTTTCCTTTAGCTGTGTCTGTAAACACATGGCACCTTGGTGGGATTACTGATGAGGTACCATGTGGGCGTTGTTTATATATGTTTGTGTGTGTATATATGTATATATAAAAAAATAAACATATACACATATATATTTGCAACATAATTTGTAATTAATGTTACTTATGGTACTGTATATGTTATACCAACAATGAAAGCTTATCAAACTAAACATATGTATTCAAAGTATTTGTGTTATGGCAGCAAGACAGGCAAGCTGAAGCGAAACGAAAAGGCTTGACTCGAAACTCAGTCAGGCAGCTGGGGAAACGGCTGTTGTGGCAGCGGCGAGTGTTCGGTGGCAAACGGTGGCACTGCTCAGATGCCAGACACGAAGAGGAATTTTCCATCATCAGCAAATTTATTTAAGAACAAAATAAAATACTTCCCTGCCTCCATGGGCAGTATCAGTAGACATATATATTGCACAGATGTATGTGTAGCTGGATGGATATTTACGTATAGGTAGATGCACATACCCTATATATTCTCTCTGTAAACACAATATAATATATATACTTTACTGTGGGATCTGTATTGTATATGTGTGTAAGATCTATGTATAGTTGTATAATAGTGTATATAGACTATGTATTTTGTATATAGAGCGTATTGTGCATGTAGTGGATTGTATGTATGTGTTGTATTATTGTAGCTGTAATGTGTGTGCATATTATACAGAATATACAGCTAAGTGTGTATACTTTTTAATATATAAAATATACATGCAAACTGTATGGATAGACATAGTTCTATGCCATGCCCATGTACACACACATCTCTCCTTTCAGCTAAGGAAGATGTGGCCAGGGCTGCTGAGGGCCCTGTGAGCTGAGCACCCGTGTCTGTACCCTCAACTCAGGCCCTGCCTGGCCACCGCATCTTGGGGCAATGTAGTGTTTAACCTAAGGCAGGGGGAGGGGAATGACAGGTCAGCCCCACTTCTCTCTTTTTTTTGGCAAGATGAGCAAGGGGCTGGCTCAGGGCTGCCGGGACAAGGGCAGGGTGGTTGCTGTTGCCCAGCCACTTGCGTGCTGAGCTACGCCACCCTCAGCAGCATCACAGAAGTAATGTGCTATAAATAAGGAATAAAAATTGGTTTTTATTTTCTAGTTTTATACAAAATGTACACATCATGTTTGTTGATCAGTTTAATGTTAAAAAAAGCTACTGTAGATTCAAATTAAACTTGCTTACATAAGTATATAAACGTAGACCCAAGCAAAGCTAAGGTTTCGTTAGCTGTGGCTTGTACTGTCTGCATGACAGAGTTACCTAGTTGCTTTTATACAGGAAATGCCATTTGAAAAAAAAAGTGATTATTATAATTTTTTTTGTCAGGCACCCACCCACCCCCACCCCTCCTGGCTTCTGCACTTCAACTCAAACATTTGATATACACCACATTATTTGCATAACTTATCTTGTTTGATGTCTGTGCATACACATATAGGAGGAGCTGGGTCACCACTGCATGCAGGTGTCCAAAGGGGGGCCCAAGGATCACGCTGCACACACACGGTCCAGGAAGTGTGTGACACCCCGTGCTGCTGCGAGTGGCCGCACCGCTTGGTGCAACTCGGCCGCCCCTGCAGTAGCTGGAGCTGCTGATCCAGGCCCATCGCCAAGGGCAAGAGCTTGTTACAAGTTTTTTTTCCACGACACTTCTTAATGTGGGGCACCAAGAGACCTAGGGGTGGCGGTGGGCTGGTCACGGTGGGACACGCACAGCCCATTTCCCTGTCTCCCCTCCCAAGCGAAGGGCCTCTGACACCGCACTCTGCAATGGGCAAAGCCCACGACACCGTCGTACCCCCTGGTGGAGACCAGGAGGCTTGCTCTCGTTTTGCATCACTGCTTGGTCTAGCTGATGTAGCCAGTGCAGGCTATGAACATTAGCAAAATTAAGTAAGCTCGTATGATACACCAGGCCCACTCTGCCCCACTTGTGCCCCATCTACCAACTGGGGGTTGCTTTGTACTTTCTCAGGTACTGAATTCAGAGCAAAATTTCTTTTTGACTCAGACTGTGACAATTTCAGTGTTTTGCATCACTGCTTGGTCTAGCTGATGTAGCCAGTGCAGGCTATGAACATTAGCAAAATTAAGTAAGCTCGTATGATACACCAGGCCCACTCTGCCCCACTTGTGCCCCATCTACCAACTGGGGGTTGCTTTGTACTTTCTCAGGTACTGAATTCAGAGCAAAATTTCTTTTTGACTCAGACTGTGACAATTTCAGTTCCCTCCACCTTTTTTTTTTTTTTTCTAAAAAGTGGTAAGGAAGAGGAGGAGTTCATCACCGCCAGCTGGGGTTGGGCTAACTTCATTACTTCTTTCTTAAAAGAAAAAAAAGCTCAAAGACATGCTGAAGTGTGGTTAAGCACTATCGCAAAACCAACAGCAAGACTTGCTTTCAGTAGGGCCAGGATTTCACCCACTGTCCTTACTGAAACTAGGCTCCCTAGCTTTTCTTTCAGTACTTGCACTCTCCATTTACCATTCGATGGCTGGAAAACAGTTGGTTTCATGCATTGTTCAAATGTTTGCAGAGGAAATCCCCTGCAGAAAGAGTTCTCCTCTCCCCCTGAATCCCCACAGGATTGGGGGGATTTGTTTACCAGAATGGCATTGGATTTAGCATTAATACAGCTCACCCCCTCCTAAAGCAGGGAGCACAGAGGCAGGAAATAAAAGCAGTTGCTCTTCAGAGGAGAGAGACAAGCATTTAGGTGACTCGGCTGTTGGGAGAGATTCCTCTCTATACATGTAAGTTTTATGGTCAGACCAGTATCACAAACCGCACGGCAAAGGGCTTGGGAGAGCTGAGCCCTGGCACATGCTGGTAACCGTACCGAGTGCGTGCCTCAACTGAGGGTTGTCCTCCCGCTGGCGTCAGCAGGGAGCTGGCTCTTAACTCCAGTGGCTACAGGGTCAGGCTCCGGCACGGGCCATGCATGTGAACCACTGGCCTGTTTCCCAAGGGTGAATGAACCATATCACTTCCCTGTGCACAACCCTGAAACCCAGCGCACGAGGCATCAGGTGCACAGCCCGGGTGTCGCTTTGGTCCTGCTGCTCCTCCTGGTGCTGAGAGCACTTCTCCTAACACATGCAGGGGATATTGCTGGAATCAGCCTCTTCTGCCAAACCAGAAGGCATTTTGTAAGTGTACCCACTAGGAAAAGGGTCTTTTTGCCCTTCAGGAATACGGCAGCATCCAGAGACAGGAAGGAAGTGAGCCACCATTGCCACCGAGTCACCCCAGACTAGAGGGTCGACAAATGTGCCACTTGTTACAGTTTTCAAATGCAAAATTAACTTCCCCATCCGCACGCAAGCCAGCAAAATCTCCTCCTGCGCCTTGGCATACAGAAACCAGCCTGGACCCAAATTCCCTCCCCAACAGCCAGAAGTCCTCGGATCCTTCCCCCAGAGACATGAAACAGAAACAGCGAAGCCACAGTAATCTGAAGAACAAGCTGAAGCACAACCCGCACCCTGTATGTACACCGAGCGTCAGCTGGTCTCACACCTGACCAAAGCCCCACGGGGTGCCCAGCCTCTGGCATCCGTGCTTCTGCACAGCTGCCCCCGGCCAGCAAGGGCCACCAGTGGCAAGGGCTGCAGCACAGCCCTGTGATGGCCCTGACCAGCCATCCCTTCAACCCCAGCCCTGGGCCAGCCCCAGAACAGGGCGAGCTTCGCCTCCGGGCACCACAGGGACAGCCACGGGCTACAGCCTGGCTCCCGCCTTGGCAGTTCCAAGCCCTGGCGAACCACCGATTCGCAAACATCTCCAAAGAGGACTCGGGAAGCACCTCAGGCTGGAGGAGGCAGCATTTACCCTCTGATACTTGCACATACCAGGAATAACTGATGTAGCAGAACGATTAAAAGATAAAGATGCTTTAATTTCACTGCCTTTAACATAAACATCCATTATTTGACTGTCTACTCGGGAGTAAACAGAATATAACCAAATGCAACTTGTAAGAATGACAAGTTTTCCTCTATCTTTAACTCTTGCAATCTTATTTTGTCCAGAACCCGCTCAGCAGCATGATTTAAATAAAACGCATTTATTACACCATGGTGTGGTAACACAGACATGCGTGCCTGAAATGGCCCCCGTGGATGGGAAGCCCAACAGACCATACTGCCACCCTACAGCAGTCAGTTTGTTCTAGTGACATGGAAACAGGTTGTCTTATACTAACAGCTTATTTATATCACATAAAGTAGATTTTTGTACAGTACTTCACACCTTTTAAAAACACAGTCTTGTATTTAACGTTCTCCAGTCAATAATCATTGGTGTTGGCATAGACAAATCATCAAACAAAACACAAGATGTTGCTTGGGTTGACTTAGAGGAGTGTAGCAGGGCAAACATAATTTCTGGCTATTTGTGGTTAGTGCGAAGTCAAATCATCCATGGGAGATACAAAGACAACATTTTAGTGCTTGGGTCTTGGAGCCCTCCTCCTGTGCAGGCTTGGGAGAGGGAGTCACAGCATCTGCAAACCCAGGACAGAAAGTTGAGCATTTGTATGTGTCTTCCCAGTACCGGATTTTTAAAATTCACATCTCCGCGATGGTCTTTCCTAGCAGTTCCCTCTGCAACTAGGCTGGTGATGGCTTGTTTGTTTGTATGGTTTTTGTTTTTGTTTTTTTTTCCCGCAGGGAAAGACTTGAACAGAACAGTTTAAAAAGAGAGATGGATAGGCGTGGGTTTTTTTTCTTTTAATGTACAATCTCAGTTAACAGGTTTTGTTACTTTTAGCTTTCAAAGTTCAAAAATATAAACTCTCTAAAGTGCATAATTGTACTTACATTTCATATAAACTATCTGAAATTCTAGCAATATACCATGTAAACAGCGCTAACTAAGCATCAGAAAATGCTACAATCTCATCAGTTTAAAAATAAAATGGACTGTTCCCTACATATCATTTATCAAGATTTGTCAGGGGCAAAACTGAAAATTTACCCATACACAGTGCAAACAGGCTTTTAAAAATAAGCAGAAAAAAACGACTCCTGGGAAGCCTTGGCCCACTGGAAAAATGTTTGACTACGAAGAAAGGGCAGAAACTGCTTCTCTTGTCCATACAAAGACATCTAGGCCCAGATTCAGGAACACATCCAAGCTTTAGTCCATTGTAATCCAACAAAACTCCAAACGCAGACCAGCTCGAGGCGCGTGCTTTCGCTTTGCTGAACTGGGCCGGAACGGTACCAAACTGGTCCAGCGCTAAGCAGTTTTTCGTAATCCAACGTCCTTTCTCCTCCCACTTCTACTAGCAGAGTGACCCTGCAGCCAGTTTGGCTCAGGTGCTGTATCTAAAATAACCAGGGAGAGCTGACTAGGGGCTCTGGGAGGAAGAGCCCACAAGAGCAGGCTGAAGGTCAAAGGCACAGCTCTGTTTGCCCGGGCTGCCCTCTGTTCAGAGCGTGGTTTACCCTGGTCAGGCTTCCCTTCCAGTCAAACATCTTCAAAAGCAGTTTTCGAGCCCGTTTGTCAGCTCTGTTAACACACTCAAAGGATCAGTTTTGCAGAGGCAGAGACCCTCATCTCCCAAGTGACAGAACTCAGCATCTCTGAAAAGCCAAGCCCCAGGTTGGCACAGAAGTCCTCTGGACTCCTTGGAAATATGAAATTCAGTCTTCGCTGATTTTATACAGAAAGGGCAATTCTGCAATCAGTAAAAAGAAAAACCCAATCACCACCAACCTGGGAGTCCCCCTCCTAAGTGCTTTCACTAACACCCACACATCTCTGCCTTACCCACCCAGACCCAGTAACAGGCATGTGCGAACCCACTGGGAGAAGGCTGCCTTTTGAAGTGCTTATGGGACCCTGAAGAGACCAAAACACCCTCAGCATGAGTTTTGGCAAGAATTAACATAGCACATTCAGCAAGTGGGATGGGGTAACTCTTCAGTACCACAACCCAAATATATCTATTTGTGAGCCCACTTGGCCACATAAAGAAGGAAGGGGGAGAAGCTGTTCTGGGGTTCCATTTCTTGCCTCCTCTGGTGTGACTGGTGTGAGGCCTGGCTATGACAACTGGCACTGTGTGTGATCTCAGCCATTTGGCTTCTGCACTTTAGCTCCCGGGGGGAAGAACACAAAAGCAAGCATTACAGAAATGCTCTCCCTGGGACATCATGGTCGAGCCCTGGCTCGGGGCAGATAGGAGTTGGTGCACACAAGCCTCTGGCTCTATGCTTTCAGTTCCCCCCAGGACCCTCTGTGCTGCTGTACCACCTATACACACCGGGAAGAAAAGACCATCCTCTGTTGCCACCATCACAGCATCACGCTGCAACCCGCTTGGTCTGATCAACGGTGTACATAAAAGGACAAAATTTAGGCTAGAGAGTACGTGTGACACCCACATGGACCGTTCAGCTTGGGCTCTTAACACCTGTATCAGATGATGAAGCACATGTACTAACGGGGTGGGTGTTACAGGTATCTTTCAGATAATTGATACCAGACATTTAACCCATCAGCTACCAAAATCCCAAGGGATTCTGACTTAAAGCTTTTAAAACCTCTTTTCCTCCCAGTTGCCTACACATGGTCACAATCTCCTTCCCAGCAGAACAAGCCAGCAAGAACCTTGCTGCACGGATCATCATCTTTGCTATCCCAAAGAGATGCAAGTACTTTCTTCTACTTCAGTTGAATTTGCCATCAAAAAAGTGGGTAGAAAACCCAACTCAAGCCCAGGCAAAACTGTAACTAACTCACCCCAGCTCCAGGTGATGACCAGAGATTCTTACAGCATTTACCTAGAGCAACAAAAGATGCCGGACTCCAAATAGCCAGGTCAAAAGTCTGAGCAAATCCTTACTGAAGCTACAAGAGAACAGTCTTGGCGCTATCTGACCTGTGCCTTCATATGAGGTCAGTCAGGGCACTTGTCTGTCAAACTAAAGTAGAAGCTACTTCATGATTTAATCACTACTCTTCCTACTTTGCCTCTCACTATGATATCCTGGGAAAAAAGAATAGCATGGCTGGCTTTGATATTCTAAATATTACAGGATCTGTAAGCAAATCAAAACAGAAGGATCCCTTCAGTGAAGTCACTGAGCACAGCATCACGTCTCCTACACTGTCAAACTCCATTTTGGGCATCAGGCCTGGAGAAAAAGTGGGCAACAGCAAGTGTGGAGAGCGACGGAAAGCCACCTGTACTCGCCCTCCCGCCTCTGGAAATGGCCCTTCAGTTCCCAGGGAGCTGCTCAGCTCTCCCCAGCCAGGTTCTTGCTGCATCTGCTTCATGCATTTGTCCATTTGGTGCTCTCTCCTCTTTGTTTATTGGCAAAAACAATCTTGTCCTTTACATGATCTTGGAGCTAATATCTCTTTTACTGATCAGGACCTCCAGCAGCCTCAGCTTGGCCTTCATCTGCTTGTACTCATTGTATTCTTCAGCCATAGGAGTGCGGTCTTCTTTCTGCACGTTCCTATAGGAGTGAAAGCAGATCATGAGGATTTCTCTAACAGGACGTCTTCCCTCAGCAGCCTCCCTCTGTCCACCAAGACCTACAAAGCAGTTCCTCTCTTCCACTCCCCACCAGGCAACAAACCCAAAACGTTTATCCTTTGAGAGAAAAAAAATAAAACAAAAAAGGGGCAAACAAACTGCTCCAATGAAGTGTAGGATGCTTGCACATTGAGGCTGAACACAATCACATGGTTCCAAATCCAAAACCTTACTCAAAGCATGCCCTGCTGAAATCGCCAGCCGCTATACAACAGCTGAAAAACACTTCAGGAGCCATCTGAATGTCAGCCTGCTGGCACGGCAAAATAAAATACAGCCTGTCCTGGCTTGGCACCACATCACTTCTGTGAACAGGCACACTTGTGAAAAGGAAGATGGTATCTGATGAGGTTTCTCTTAGCTTACGTGAAACTTTTAAGTTTTCAGCGATCTTACAAGAACCTCTAAGGATGATGGCTGGTGGTACAATACTAACAAGATAATTTAAGAGTATAAATATATTAAAACATTCATCAGCTCATTAATGAGGGACACCTTCTGAAAACAAAGTGTAGCTGACAAACCCAGCTACACTAAAGCACAAACACTTGTTAAACTAGTGTCTGAATACCTCACAGACAAGCAAGAAGAGGACAGAAATCTAAACATGCATCATTAGGAAAACCCCCCAATTATTCCATCATTCCACCGTTCCTGTCAGCTGTGCTAGAGGCAGCTGCATTTTCACAATCTGTACTTTCGATTCCCCCTGCTTATCCTAAGACAAGGTTTTCAAAGAGGCTGCGGTCCCTGAAGTTCTTTGGAGGCAGGGGGTGGGGATGGCAGAGGGAAGTAATTCATTTTAATGGGCAACTGTAATGAATGTGGGTGAAATACTGATGATGATGAAGAAATATTTAATAGTGAATTCAGGAAGCTTTTCATATTTGGAGGTCTTTGAGCTGAAGGACAGAGAGACAAGAGAGGCAGCTGAGAAATTATTACCTTCCATTTTGTCGGAAAAAATTATCTTCAAAGTCTCTCAATTTTTTTCTGATTCGCTTTTTCTCTTCCCTGACTTCTTGGAGCTGCTCTAGGAGTTCAGGGCTGTTGGGTTTAAATACAAAGAAGATTATACACATATACACAATTATAACAGGAAACATATACTAAATCTGCAAGTGTATGGTGGTACATATGCCAAGCAATGAAGCTGCTCCTGCAAGAAGCTCTGGCAACCTGATGTTACTTGCAACAAAAACCTCCCTGGATTTAGTTCAGCAAAACAATCATACACTTCAGCTGAAGCCTCTAAGGAGGCCAAATGTGCATTTCACAACTCACCACTAACTTCTATGAAGCTTACTTGCTGAAGATAGGTCTGGCTTTGGTGACTTTTATAGGACAAAGAGTCAACGGTCATGACTTAAGGCTATGACCCACGTGTGTTTGCATAAGACCTAGGTGCTTCAAAGCAGCAAAGCTCGTTCAACTTGACCTCTCTAACACCTGAAAAACCTTGTAGAGTACAGGGTTGTTTTCATGATAAAGGCTTGCCGCTGGCAAACGGGGGCAACTATTTAGTGCTAGAATCCAAAGATACAGAAGTATCACTATGAGGACAAGGCAGTTTCTTCCCAAACCCTTTCATATGAGGGTCTATTGCATTTAAAGATAAACCGCAAAAACTTCTGACTCTGATCATAAACGGAAAAAAAAAAAATGTAGGCCCTTCTCTGACAAATAAAATGCTATCTTAGCAAGAAACAACTTTTTGAAGTTGCCTGTGAATTCAACATACATGGATGCTTCATGGAGATTTGAAAGCCCCATATCCTGACTGCTCCTAGATGGCATCTTATCATCCACCGGAGAAACAAAGCCGTCAGCATCATCTTCTAGTTGATCCAAGAAGCTACGCACGTTGAAATCTGTTTTCATGGTAATTGTGAAATCTGGCTTCACATTGCTGTCCTCCTCGGACCCCTCCTCTTCCTCCTAGAGAGAGGGACATAGCACCCCCATAACAGAATAGGTTACTGCTTCCCATCTCACAACCAGGCACCTCCTTTCACCACATGCACTGAGGAACAGACACAGAAAGTGGATAGGCAGAGCAAGCACTTTAATCGCTAAGCAATACAGGACACCAGAAGACCACCAGTAAGACACCCCATACTCAACGCGTGTCAGAGAAACTGTGACCAACAACTCAGACTGGTTAAGGAGACACAGGGCAACAAAACTGAGTGAAAAAATACCTGAGGTTCTTAGCAACCTGTTGCTTTGTTTACTTTATGTATTCCGACGTAAATAAAACCTACTTACAGTCACTATGCACACTGCCTAAAGCATACCCACCATCCTCTAATTTTTTAAATACACCTGGCTGCATACAGAGTGCCAACGTAAAACGCAAAATATTCTCTCAACAGATGCTGCTCAACAGCTCTCTCTAATGGCTGAATTCAAGACCTCAAATGCTTGTACAGTGATATCAATACGCTCAGATTAGTTTTTCAATGGCCCAAATGTGGGCTATGATTGATTGTAAAAGGACTGGTGCTGCTGATGTTTTCCTGACATCAGCTCTGTACCATTTAGCTGGAATAGACTAAAAACTGGAGCAGAAACACTCTGCTCAGTGCAATTTCTCCAAAGTACACCGATGAACTGGTTGTGTTTGAATTTTTTTGCCAAATTTTTAGGCACAAGATTTAAAAGTTGCTGCTGCACTTGGTACTTGCTAATTCATAATGTTCTGAAATGCAGGGCTTCTCTGCAACACTGTCCAGAAATCTGGATTATCAGAGAACAGGGCCCTGTTTTCTCTTATTTACAGTGACACTTCTAGACAGCCGTTTTCAACCTTAATATGAGGCATGAGCATTGGAGGAAGGTAATAAACGCCAGCATGGACAATAAGTCTCTTAAATGTGTATGTGTGTGTATATATATATATTTATTTTACAACCATGTAACTAGCCAGGAAGGCTCTAAGCACATGCATATCTTTAAAAGCTTTTGAGGGCTAATATCACTGAAGTCTTCAAGTATGTGTTGTTGCATTGGGATCAAAAGAAGCCATTTTCTTGACCTTTTTTTTCCATGCAATTCCTTGTGAATAGTTCAATTACTTCTAAGAGATTCTCCCATATTTCAAGCAAAAAGGGAGAAAGTTACACTGGGATCTGGCATAGTCCCATTAAATCCTCAAAGTCAGTGACTTATAAGCGCATACATTTGCAAGAAATAAGAATTTGCCCAGAGTTTTCTTTTTATGTTAATGCTCTAGGCCATGAAAACACAATGTAAAGCCACAAGCTGAGAATTACAACCAAGATGGAGTCTTGAGGATGAAAAAAAGATTAGCTGGGGAGAAGTCCTGAGTAGTAATAATAATTATAAAAGATACAGAAAAGTTTGAATGCATCTCAGGAAAATCTGCAGGGCACTTGTGAAAGTTAAAGCAATATTTAGCATATGATTAGACAACACCATTTCTCCAAATGTAAATTATATCTTTAAACAGAAGGCATAAACCAGCAGTCACGTACGGTCCTTAAACCCTGCAAACAACTTCAGGCTGGGCTGGGGACTGCTCACTGCCATTTACAAGCCCCAGGCATGCTGTCCTGCCCTGCCTGGTAAGGGCAACTAGGACTGAAGCAGGAGAATGCCAACCCTGCTGTGGCATGGAGGAGGATTTGCTAAGTCAATCTAAGCAGTAAAAGTGGTATGCTTTAGTTTAGGGGAACCTCTCTGGCACCAAAGGAGGAGCTCTTGGGCCCTTTCCTGGGACAGCAGGTTGCTTCTGGATTCCCCTTCTGGAGAGAAGGAAAGGGACAGTTTTCATAAGCAGTGCGACAAACTGCTCCCGGGGACAGATGCAAGGTGTAACTTGAATCTGTAAATCTGGCAGCAGTCTCTTCCCCATAGACGCCCATGGGCCTGTCTCACTTGCCTCATTCCAGGGCACCAGCATGCTGCCCAAGCCAGCAAGGATTACTCTGGCCCAGAGCTCAGGAGAGAGCCTCCTGCCAACGGAAGCCCATGGGAGGAAAAGAAAGTGTAGCAATTTCACTTGTTTAGACCTCAGTGCCAAAACACTACATCTGGCTGTCACAAGACCTCTTAAAGCATTTTGCTGTTTAAAATGAAGGAGCAAATTAAAATGATTCTTAGCGAGCACTCAAATGGAAATGGCCATCTAAGACCTTCGCTTTAAACAACTGTCACATGGGAATCTTATTTTAAAGCTGCACTGGCATTTACACCTTGAACCAGAATGATCTTCATTGACTAGATCCATGTGGCTTGCACCTGCTTGGATTTTTAGGCAATCATGAGGCACTTAAATTTTCCAGTTACAAATATAAAATCTCCAGATTATCCCACCATCAGCACTCCCAGCAAGCAAGCTTCCCAATGACTTTTTTTAACACAGACAATATTCAAGGTATTGTATCCAAATGTTTGGTAAGGCTTCACCTCAAATCACCTTTCAAACTTTTATCCAACTTTCCTAAATGCTTAAAAAAACCCAAACAACCAACCCAAAATAAAAAAAAACTGACAGAGTCAGGGGCTGTCAAGATAGGCAGTGCCCTGCCCACAGCGCACCTATGCAGGGGGTAAGTTCTGGGGCCTTTTGGCAAATTCCTCTCTTTAGTAGTTCTGAGGGTAGCTCGGTGCAAAGCTGCCACAGCAGCTTCACAGGGCCCCATTTAAGTGTTAATAGGCATGTATATGTTAACGGGCTTAAGGCTGTCACCCTGATCTTCAGTCAGAAACTGCTCAAGGTTTGTATTCCCTGCAGGACACTGCTGAGCTGGTGCGATGCTGCCCCAGCGCAGCACCAGCCATGCTGGTCATCAGAGATCACCATAACTGAGAGCTGTAAGTTTTGACTCTGGGTGCAAGCATAGGTGAAAACAGAGGACACGCTGAAAGAAAAAAACCAAAACCAAAAATAATCCCCGAGACCACTATTGCAGATTTGATCCAGCAGTTACCTAGAAAATACTGAGAGCTCTGCGATGATTAACCAGTCTCCAAACAGCAGATTAACATCTTCAGCCTGCAATCTGGTTTTAATGAATATGTGCCTTGAACAGTCCATTAACACACAATCTACTGTAATTGCCTAATAACCAAATGACCTTGGATGTCTAGGTCGGCAGTACTTACACCGTTAACCAAACTCTGGCTGGATAACGGGTAAGTGACCCCAGTGTGCTGAAGCACCTTTTTCCCCTGTTACACTGCAAGGGTAACAAAAGCAAGCCAGGGCCCAGCTCCATGCTGCATGTCCATGTCACTGGACTTCCCTTCTTGGGGGAAGAAGGCCCAACATCACAGCAGTCTTCACCACCAGGAAGTACTACCCCACAGTGGCACGAAAAAGAAACACAACAATCCTGCCATCCGAATCTGACCAAGCGTTAACTAGCAGAACTGAGTTGTTCTTACTTCCATCCTCATGTGAGTTGGTTAGAAATACCCTTCACAAGGTGGTGACAAAGAGTCCTGGATAAAGTAAGTACGCGAATGGGAGCAGGCATGGATCCTGTAAGTGCCCCGGTTGGCTCCACGCGCGAGAGTTAGTTTTGTGAGAGCTCATTCCTGCCATGGTGCTGTGTGCAAGCCACAGAGCTTTGGAGTGAGAGAAACTACTGCAAAACGAGTTAGTGTCATTAAAAAGAAGGGAGGAAAGCAAGAAAAAAGCAACATACAAAGGTAATTGTGATTTTTTTTTTTTTTAAAGCAAAATAAAATACGTTATGTGCGGGTGGAGGGGGAAGGATGGGAAAGAATGCAAAGCCAAGGAAATACTGGAGTCTTATCTACAACAAGGGAAGAATTTGATCAGAATTGGCGAGGCTTAAAGCAGCTACTGATTTTTCAGGAGGACACTGCAAAAAAATCAACACTGATGGAAAAAAAATATCAATCGATCAATCATTCTCTTTCATTGGTATATGGGGAAAATTGATGCAAACTGAGCAATTAGTTAGCAGCTGGAGGTCTTCACCTTTATCTCCTTGAAGAAGGAAGCTGTTTCGCCCTCGATAATTGGCTGCAGCAAAGGGCTTCTCCGCTTGCTGGAGGGGGAACCCTGTGACAGGTGTTAACAAGTATGTTACATTATGAACCCCTTTCTCCTCCACCACCTGCTCTCAGCTCATTCTCACCCACACATTCACTCTCAGCTCATCATTGGACCACCAGGACAAATCTAATTCTTAAAGAAAAAAAACACGCCTGGCAAACCCCCTGAACCTTGGGCTGTTTTCTCTCAGGAAGTTGCTTAGCAAGGGACATCACTGCCAAACACTTTTAAGAAAAAAGCTTGGATGCTGGAATACTGGCTGGGCAGGAACTACAAAGTAAAGGCTGCAACAAAATAAACCCCAGCCCGAGGCCCAAACACACACACACCATTTGGCTGGCTCTCCAGAGCTACACTGTAAGCCCAGCTAGACTCTCCAGGCTTGCTTTCCAGGAGCCAGATTTCCCACTGAAGTGCCTAATGATGTAGAGATGGATTTTCGAATGTATCCTGCCTCTGCACGAGCCTCTCGCTGTTCTTGCTCAACGGGCTGGGGAAAGCCAGTCTGGTCTCTTCTCTGCTAGCCACTGTGCAATTTCAGTTTTGGGTGTAAACAGGACCTGAGCTCTCTTCAAGAGCTTTGCATCAAACCGCTCGTGCACAGCTACACAGTTTCTTCCTTCTTGATTGCCACCACTGTGTTCCCAGCACACATTTTGAGGAGTACTTTGCATATTCAAGGAAGAACAGCTTTTTGTTTTGTTTTAAATGAAGGACCACCTCCCACTATTTGCAGAAAGAAATGCCACTTCTCAGTGTGACTGCACTGAGTCATGCTGTGCCAGTCCTTTCACTTCACTGGCGGTCTACAAAAAGCGGCCAGGACATGAACGCTGCTTGGGAACAGCAAAAGAAGTGAAGGATCATACATGACAGACAGAGTAAACAGGAACCATGATAAAAAAATTCTCTTTCTATAGACAGGCTAAAAGTATTCTGTGTGTATTTTTTAGATCAAATAAATTTTTAAGAAGTGGCCTACACAAGTTGTCTAAAATTAGAAACAATGCATTTGCTCCTCAGGAAGGTACACTGGATTCCTCGCTGCTGGCAGTGCCTCCTTGCCAAAGCACCACCTCAAATGAGGGAACATCCACCACTTGCAGGAACTCTTTAATACAAATGAAGCGTTAGGAGACTGTTGGCCCTTTCTCTCAGCCAAGGAGATTGCTATCTCCTGTGGGACCCTCACAAGACTCTGTTTCTGACATACAATCCTGTGTAGCCAAGCAGCATGGAAGACCTACAGCTTAGAGTGGATTGCTAAGGAAAGGGAAGTGAGGCTGTAGCCAAACACAGGATGATGAAGTAACAGCAGCAGCCCAATAGAAAGAGAAACAACACAAGGTGAGATGTGGCCCATGGCTCATGGGTGGGCACTAGTGTCCCTTGACCAGCTTTGCCCGATTTCAGTATATGGTGTGTCAATGATTCACTCATTTGCTTGATCTTTGAGTGATAAGGGAGGCTGGGACTTGGCCTTAGTGATTGTGTTGTATGCAAAAGTGTGGTGATCCCTGTTTCCTCAGCTTGAAACCAAAAAAATGGCCCCCAAAAGAATGCTCTACTTACAATGATAGGGATGGTGTTGGCTCTGGAGAGGATCTGCTTGACCAAGCGATACCTGTCATATAATGGCTTCATCACCTGTCGTTCATTTTTGGTAACCTGAAAAGCAAAAAGAAGCAAGATCCATGAAGTCTGCAGTAGATACTCCACTCTATAATGCATGTGCCTGTGATCACTGTTAGCCAGAGGGAGCTGGAAGGGAATTTTCATGAGGATAACAGGTTAGCAGCATTAGCCCTGAAACCAGTAACGCAAGTGCTCATGTACATCATTGCATCTCCTGTCCTCAGGTGCCAGATGAAGCAGCACCCAAGCTGTGGGGTGTCTTGCAACGCGGCTGTATGAGACAGGCGGTTTAAATGACCAATGTAGGTATTGTATGTCCACAGCACAAAAGGACCCATAGAGGCAGCAGTCTGTGCTTGGAATCACGTCTACCATTGTAAGGCACAACAAGAGGTTTCCCACCCTTATTCTTGTGGCTGGAACCTCAGAGGCAGTGTTTATGACCCATAAAAAGAGAAAGGAGCTGCAATGACTAGATACTTCAATGCAAGGAGACTTTCCCAGGTTAGGTTAAACTACAGATTTCACAAAAGTTGACTTTCTGGCTTTGCTATGCCTCCTAATTTCCTGTTCAAGCTAGCAGTTCTTCATCTTTTTAACCCCCTAACCTTCCTTGCCCTCCACTCCTCCTCCCAGCCACCTTGGTGGAGAGAAGTTACTACAGAACGGAGAAGGGATGAAGGTGCCAGGGCTATGTGGCATAGAGAAGACAGAATAGTGGTATGATGCCCACTTCAAGCCCTCCTTATATTGCTCTGTCCCTAACTCCACTCCTTGTAGCTTCATGTCACTCTCCCTCCTCAGCTTGAGCGTGTCACAAACTCCAAGTGTTCATTTGTGTTTTTCTTTCAGATCCAAGTGAAGCTGAAAACCTCAGTAGTCATGACAGTGCAAGAGATGGGAAAACTTAACAGACAGTAGCTAATGTGGGAAAGCGAAGGTCTGTCCAGCTAAGTACTAGTTGTGAGGAAGCTGGGTTTTACGTCTTCAATGTTTTGTTACAGCAGGGTTAGAAACCAAACAATCAAAACACTCAGCAGAACCAACCTGATCATCATCTTTCTTTGTATTCAGCACCGTCTGACCCACATCCTATGACAGTCCTTCCATTAGATCTTTTGTCTGACTTTAGATTATAAAGCTCTTATGAGGGAAAGCTTTAACTGATTCTGATGTCATGTCTATCTTCCTCAAGCCTTTTTACTGCTGCTGATCACCAGAGCACCTGAACAGCTGCCATATAAAAATCAACGTCAACACTGTAACACCCAGGGAGGTTTGTACAGTCTCCCTTTCTCTAGAAACAGGAGAAAAAGGCATACAGCTTGAGACAAGAAGGAAATCTGAAAATGATCTTTTTTTTTTGTCTGCAGTTAACTTTCACTGGAGTAAGCTTCTAAAGCTCTCACATCCTCCCTCCAGAGCAGGAGAGGCTGTTGGTTTGCAAGGGGCAGAAGGGCAGTAAGTATTGCCAGGAGTGGGACTGCCAGGGTTGAACTCTAAGAACCTGGAGGTAGCATTTTCCTCCTGATAAGCCTGTTTCTTATGTTGGGGGAGATGAATACAGAGGAAGAAGGAGGAAGACCTTTTTAATCCTTTCTGGCTTCAATGCAAACATCCCAAAGCCTGATAAGTGGCACACAGATGGGCAGTCCGAGCTCTAAGGCCTGCACGTTCCACACCTCCAAAGCACAGTCGGGCTCCAATACTCGACAGCCCCAAGCTGGCTGTTCGTTGACTAAGCAGCTCGCATGGATTAGAGGGATGTGAGCAGCATCAAACAATTCACTCAGCTCTCTCTGTATCGAGTTTCGTGTTGATGTGTCTGCGTTCAAATTGCACTGGCTAGCAAGTTGCCTCCAATTTCGGATGTTTCTCTGTAACCAATCAGCATACAACTGGAGAAACAAGGTAGCTTACATAAATACACATGTTACATTTTTCCTAGCTTTACTAGGTTAGCAGTTAGTAGAACAAGAGACACAGCACTACTGTTGGCTCAGACAGTCTCTGTTACTTAAAAAAACCCAAACAACTATGCTGAGGCTTATGCTGAGGCTGAGAACCAAACCTTCAATTAACGACATTTCAAAGTTGGTAAATAGCACTGTTCTGTATAGAAAAACAAACATAAGCCTTGGAATGGGCAAAAAATCCTTAGGTATGTTGAAGAATGGAAAAAATAAACTACATGCATCCGTCTCCGAATATCAATACGGAGGAAGAACACAGAGAATTAATTTAGGCATTGGAAGTAAAGCATACAGGGCCTGAGTCAGCCTTGCAGACTTACACCAGCACACTCAACAGCAAGCAGATTCTGAAAGAAAACGTTTAGCACATGGGCAAACTGTCTCATTAGGTAAACGTTAAGTAATTCCAGCAAAATCAGAGCATATTTTGGGACAACATCAAAATGCAAGACGATTGTTGGAATAATGGAGCCTTTGACATAACTCTGGGGCACACTCCACATGGTAAAATAGCAGCAGCTGAGCAACAGACCATTGCTTGCATTGTCACAGCAACTTGAGAATTTCTCCAGATGGACTTTTTAGCTTAACAAAACCAGTTCAATTTCCACCTTTGCAAGTTCATCTATCACTGGTGCAGAAAGACCCAGTTGCACAATAAATCTGATCTCCATTGTTTTTCCTGTTTAGTTAAATATCTTTTAAGAAAAAAAAACCCAAACAACAAAACATAGCACTTGGCTGAACTATTCCCATTCTCCTCAAGCTCTCAGTACTTTTCCACTGCTGGAGTGCCAGGAGCTGGGAACAGCAAAAGCTGATCAGATGCAGTCTTCCTTGCCATGCAGTTCAGTGTTGCTAGGTATAGACTGCTTACTTAAAAACAAACAAATTAAAAAGCTGTTATATAAAAAAAGCATCATAAAGAGAAGGGGAAAAAAGGTATGCTGACAAGCCAGGCTCCGGGCTTGTCCTCTTTTTAAACAGATTTAAGTGAGTTCACTTCAATGAGATGCCACTTGTTGATTTTTATCACTGTAAAAGCAGCAAAAGCAGACTCGGTCTCATGGAGAAGACAGGGAAGGTTAAGTGGATTCCCTCGAGCTGGCCTTTTGCTATTTTACACAGGAATAAAACTATATGTCCTCTCATACAACTACTTTGTTCTCAGTTGCTGGTATATGTGACTGTCCAATATTTGTGCTTTATGAAGGCATTTAAAGAAATCAGTGAGACTTTTTAAAACAATGGACAGAGGAGGAGATAATTCAGAAGCAAAAGGAAAGAAGAGATCAGGAATCCCTTGCAACAGAAGAATGACAGATTTGTCAGATGCACTAATCAAGTACTCTTTATCAGCAGTAATTTGCTGCTCCCAAGCCACTGCTCAAGGGATTAGCACCACTCTGAAATTAAGTCACTTTACCTATATATCTGGTAGCAAAGATTATAGTGTCATCAGTGAAAGAGGAGGAGGGATTCATGCAAAGCCAACCCGGTGGCCTGGAAGCCACCGTGTTTCTGCCACAGCAGGTATCAACAGGACTCAATACTTAATTCTCCATCTTCACAAATAATTTTCCTTTGTTAAGATCAAATGTGCAAGAAACCTCGTGCCCTTCATCTCTACTGGCACATGGAAGAAAACATCCATTTCTCAGAGGAAGAATCTCCTCTCAACTTATGCTGTGATGCTCAGGAGACAAACTGTTTCATGAATCCTTTGGCACAAAAAGATTGTGCAAATAGCAAGGTGCAGGTGCCTCCTTCCAAACAGCAAGGTGCCGGCAGAAACACGCTGTAGCTCCCCTAGGAAGGAGCAATGTATGCACACCTGTCTTCCCAGTCAGCCATTAATACTAGCAAATTGCAAAACTCCTGGTTGGATGGGGGAGCCACACACAACTATTCCTGTGCAGGCTGTATTCCCGGCAAAGCTGCTGAGTCTGCTGGGCCACAAACTGGATGTCTGTGGATCCTGGTGGGAGTGATGCCAAAATAAGGCACATTCAGCCTGTAGGCTCAGTCCTACAGTGCCTGCCGAGCCCAGCGCTGCGTGCAGACATCACCTTGCTGAGAACACACTTATCAGTAGCAGCAGTAGTGAAGAATCAGGGAGGTGGATTAGAGGATGCACGTGGGCTTGAACAGCAAGAAGTTCTAGTGACTGTGACAAAGGAGCATTAGGGGGATCATTTACCACAGACAAAGACATACAAAGATGTACTTTGAAAAAGGTGCTGCTGTACATACCGGTCTGCCATGAATGCTTTCATAATACAGCAAAGCTTTTTGAAGAGCCACTTTTTCAGCTGCTATCTGATCTCTTGTCATGTCCTATGAAAAATGGCACAGAGAGAAAGAAGGAAGAAAAAATCCGTCAGATTCCTGGACTCGAACAATACTGATTTGTGGCCTAACCAAAATCAGGCCATTTTGTCGTCAATGTTTTGAAGGCTCACCTCTGCCTTCCAGTCCTCTTTTTCCCCGCTATATTGCCAGAGACTGTTAACGTGAGTGGCACCCTGTGCACAATGCAGGCAGATTAAAACAGTCTAAACTTTGCATATGAAGGTATTTTATGAACATAAGGGGGATTTACTGATTATCAGTGTACTTCGAAAAAATAACGGCATGCAACCTTTAATGATGGTGCCTCTTAAGATCCAAAGTGTAAGTTTTACAACAAAACACATGTTCTTTCTTGTTCTCCAAATTTGCGACAAGCTCCAGTACCTCTTGCAAAGCTTGCCATCTTTGCTTTGACTGCCACAAACACACTTTACCAAGAACTGAAGTGCAGTCAGACCATCTCCTTCTGCCAACTCTGCTATGGAGTGAAAAGCTCTGGCAGTCAGGCTGAGGAGACCAAGCCAAAAAAGGGCAGACAGTTGGAAAAGACTTCCCTAACTAAGTTGCCAGAGTTCCCCCCCGAACTTGCCTGACACTGAGCCTTCTCTCCCTACCACAGCACCAAATACTGTCACAGGCCCTGTTTAAATAGCCAGGCTATGGATTCTCACTACCGTCAGAAAACAACCAAACACATACTGTGTGTATCATCTTCTTCTGCAGATCTGGTAAATAAAGATAATGCTGTCTGCCTCTCTCTTACAAAGCACTGCACAATTTACATGTCAGACTCAAGGACTTCTCTTACAAGACTGGCCAAACCTCAGGAACCAGCAACATCAGACACAAAGACCTCCCTGCTGATAACCCTCAGAGATTACAGCAGCTAACAGAGCTCAATGTGAAACTCTGAGGAGCAGTGATAAAATGTCCCAAGAGAAAAGCAGTCAGCTTTGGAGTGAACTAGAAGAAAACAGACGACCCAGTCTGAAGAATCATTGGAGGACACAGAATTTGTCAAAAGCCTTTGGACGTAATAACAGAAATAGCCAAATACAGAGCAGGAAACATTGCAATAATTCAGAAATGTTACTTGGAACATACAAGGATCAGAAAAAGAACACACAATTCAATAGAAACCGAGCTCTAAAAAAAATTAAATAAATCAGGTACTAAAGGCAAAGAGAAAGAAACTAAAGCAAGTGAGCCAGAAGTACAGGTTGTAGAATTTGTGGCAAAATGCGGAAGACCACAGGGCTTTCACAAGCCTTCACAAGCTTTCACCTGACTGTGCAGCCATGAGTTAGTTATCTACTTGTACTTAAAGGCCTAAATCCAATCTGTCTGCATTGTACCTTAATATCTTCAGGTCGGTTTGTCTCTGTTCGTTTTTCTTGAAGCTTCTTCTGGATAGAATCAAGGGTTGCTTCCACAGCAGGCTTGGCAGATTTATCTGACAGGTCTTGCTTCTTCTCATCATCCTTTTCGAGCTGAGAGCCAAAGCTCTTGGGGAGCGTGTTGCTCCGCTGACGCACAACAGGGCCAAGGTCTTCCTCCGATATCTTCAGTTTTGACTCTGAACAGGGACATTTGGGGAAAGATGAATATTTTTTTCTTTTTTAAAATGTGACAGTGACAGGATTGCTGCCTAGCATGAAATTTAAGTGAGGCAGAGTCCAGCTGCCCTCCGAAGGTGCATCAGTGGTGGCTGCTCACCTTTAAGTTGCTTTCGGAATTTGGCCAAATCATTTGTCCATTTGAGCACTTCAGGATTGGCTGCTTTGTCGCTGTGGGAAGGCTGGGAGGAAAGAACAGTCATGCTGAATCTGTGTTAAACCAACAGGAAAGACCCACTGAAACAAGCATGTGTCACAAAAAGAGGTACAACAGAATTTGGACCCAGCATAAGAGCACAGGCACTGGCTTCTAACTGGCACCTGCACACCTCTGATCAGCTCATTTCAGACCTTGCTTTAATCACTCCTGCCTGTCACAACACTGTCTCTTTGGGGCATCATGAGATTGATTTTTCTCTTTAAAAACCAGAAAATTTTTGATGGCAAGCATTAAGTTGCAGGAGTGGCTCATAGGGCCAGATGCACATTGGAATCCTTATGCCTATTGTTTCCTAACAAGAGGGTACCTCCAAAATAGAGGAAGCCTTGCGTGAACAGCTTGAGAAGTGTTAGGATGCATGCATCATGCACACACCAAAGGCTGCCTTACATCCAAAGACACTGAAATAACCTAAATGCCAGGCTACAGCAAGCTCTGAACATTTCTTCCAGCTTTTTCTACTGCAGGCAAGATCCTTTCAGTACAATCCTTTGTGGTTTAGATCACCAACAAACATGCACACATGCCAAGCTTTAGTTCCTTAAAAAGCTTTCTGTGCATCGGAAGGGCATGTCAGAAATAATTAGATTACAGTACACTGCCACTGCTCAGCAGCACTTGACTGTGGTTCCTTGCTCAGGAGTAAAGGCGGCTGCTCTCTTTCCTCTGCAATGCACTGGTGTCCTGGGATTACCATCATGCAAATGAGATGTGCAATTGTGCCTCCCAGAAGCTGAACTTGAATAAATAAACAAACAGAAGTCTAACATAGCTGTTCCTACACACTGAGTATGTGCTTTTGGCACAGTGTCTTAAGCAGTGATCAAAACTCTCTGAGTTTATCAGGCTATCTCTTGTGCCGCACTGGTATTACGTAATGCCTGGAAAGGTAATTTGCTTGGTATGGATGCACATTTTGCACATATGGATACAGCTTCCCCCCCGCCCCCTCCTTATAAAAGCTTTCAAGTCCTCTGTATGTTTGACAGACTTCCCTGATGTCCCTTCCCTTTGTTGCTACTGCATACCTCTCCACACAAACGCTTAACTCCTACAGACTCACTCTGTATTTCCTCTCCTCTTCAAATTTGTCCTCAAATCTCCTGATCTTTTTCTTCAGTCCCTGAATTCTCCGGGTGAGTTGTGCAGGCGTAAGGTCCTCTCTATCATCTTCATAAGATCCCAAAGATGAACTCCGCCTCCTACCAAGAGCACAGATTGCAGGAAGAGCTTATTCAAACAGCCACAGAGAAAACCACTTAAACTTTGTGTAAATATAAAGGCAAATCCCACAGAAGTGAGAAAGCCATGTTGCTACTCTGTAATGACAGATAGCAAAAGATACTGTAACAGCCTCTTTCAGCAACAGCAACTCCCTAGATGTTTATTCACAAACCCAGAAACAATTAGTTACCAAGAACTTTTCTAAAAATACCAGTTTCCCATCAGTAGGAACCCAACACAACATAGCTATCTGGCATATGCGATCCAAAGAGATGTTGCTTGATGCAACTGTGCAAACCCTTTACAGCTGGGTGTGAGAGTCAGCACAGGCAAATCACAACCCACCTCATGAAGGAATGAGAATTGGGAGGGGAAGGAGGCACTTCTGTATCATCCAGGTACTGTTGGCTCTGTCCATAGGCGTAGAAGCGAGGGGACAGCATAGGATCGCTATCCTCATCCAGAAGCTGGCGAATTAAGCGACCGGCCTGCGGGGAAAGGCGAGCCTCATCTGAGTCTAAGCCGTCTCGCTGCCATGAGGAAAGAGCAGGGATGGGCTCTGGGAACAGTAAAACAAAGGCTGGTTTTATCTTTTTTGTTTTACATGTATGACAGACTCCAGGCAACTTTTCCAATGAACCCTGACACGTCTGTCCTGGACCAGGATTCCTTGTTATAGGGCATTCTCCAGGTCATTACTCGCATCTGCCCAAGTGCAAAGCACTGCCTGGCCACAGTGGGTACTCTACACAAACATAATCAATCTCCTAGGTGCAACAGAAAATTGTACTCAAAAGTTGGCCAGTAATTACCATGGACTGACACCAAACGAAGCTACCACCAGCCAGCAGCTTTGAGGAAAAATTTGTGCTGGACAAGAGAAAATTATTGGCACACGGTGGTATAAAGGAGGCAACTGGATTACAGGGGGATTTTTTTTTTTTTCCAATTTCAGGATGTACAAATGCTGTAAATGAGTGGCATATTAATTGTCCTCCTGTAGCCTCCAGCACTCCAATAGGACCCTGCCACCCGATATAACCCAATTTCTCCTTGAAATTCAAAGACTAGGAGTAAGCATAAGTTGTTCTAGTCTGCAAGGAAAAGGTGTCTCACATTGCTAACTGTTCCACAGAGTGCCTAGCCTGTAAATTAACAATGATGGTAACATGGTCTGAGTTTCCCCCTCTTCCACATGCAATCCCGCTACTTAACAGCATGGTGGAAAAGCAAGGAAATCTTCGGTCCCCTGGACAATCCAACCAGCTGGAAGTAAAAGCAATGTTCTACAGGGAGAAGGTGGAGGGGGAGAGAAAGGGAAACCCAACTTAGTGTTGCTGATTAGCATAGCAGAGCCCATGGAAAGCAATCACCTCAATCTTGTGATCACTCCCTCCAGATGCCATGAGTCGTCTAACGTTTGTGTTCAGATAGTTTACTAAGCTGACTTGCATGCTCCTACTTAGCACCACAGGATTAGACAGTGTAAGAGCCAGGCTTTGAACTTCTAAATCTAACAAATAGTTCTAGAGTCAAGTAACAAAACAAAAACCTTATAGAAAGCTCCCAGACCAGTCACAGAGCTATGGACTCATTATTTCCTGTGCCTACTGTGTCTACTCTTCTTCCACAAAGACAGGTGGCTTTTGAAGATACCATTTTGGAATAAAGAGTGGTATTTCCTTTTGCTCAACAAGGTTAACATTTTAACGTTTTCATATCTTAGAATGGATTGCATAAGGATCCCCTTACAGCATCTACACTGTTTAATATTCCACCCCCCCCTTCGGACAGCGCAAGATCATCCACAATTCAGTAATGACAGGCTCAGTGGTATTTTGCCTGTACACAGAGTCAGATGCTGCACTCCTCCTCTTCCCTTCTTCCTCAGCACATGAATATAAATGGCACGCCTCTGCTCAGAGGTTGGTGCTGCCTGCAAACTGGTGGTTGCTCTGAAAGGGATGGCTGGAGGTTTTTGCATAAGAGCCTCTCGCAGGCGTTGTGATAAGCAAAGCACATACAAGCCTGGCTTGCAGAGGCTGCTTCAATGAGGGGTGCAAGTCCCAAGTACATGTAGGCTGTTTTGCCATGGATTGGACAGCTTGTGCGGCCTGTACTTCCCTCAGTTAATTTCTGTAACAAGAATTTTTTTCTAAGCTGTGTTCAACCTTGGCAGTTCCTAATACCTGAAATGTTTTTCTCAAGGAATTTGATAAGAAGGAAGGTGAAACGAAGGGCAAACCCTTCAGCCAAACTGCGACACTTTGGTGTTGCCTACTTCCTTGAATCTCTCACGGTTTCAGGAAGGTCCTCACAAGATCTCTTGTAGCC